AGACGACGATACACTGGACATTCAAACGAAACATCGTAGAATACCAGTACACAAAACACTGAACTGTATATAAGACATGAAATAAGACATAAAACATATAAGCAGGGACATACAGGGCAGCGCTTCAAAAAAAAAAAACACAAAAAAACCCACAAAAACATTACGTACTGCGCGTTAATGATACACCTGGGGATTAAAACAGGTAAATGGCATATCAAATATTACACAGATCTAATATACTAATATATAAAGACGAATCTCCCAAGCGAAATTCTAACAATCGTCATCTTTACGAAAGAAAAAAAATGTTCATTTAAATTGACATGAAAAGATAAGTCTATGACCATAACAAAAGTACCTTACAGGGCCATTTAAGAAGGTGCAGCAACAAGAAAATCACCTACATTGTTCCGACTGCGACAAAACAAATATAGACGCTTTTACGAATTATCCTTAAGTTGCGTTAAAGCTGCACGCCTCCAGATGAGCAAAACTATTTCGATAAAATCAAACCTTAGAAAAATGTACTAAGATTTTAGGAAAGGTATAAAGATTCAAAATTCTATTATGTTATGTGCGATTTATGACCGATTTTTCAGTATTTATAATTATATTTCTACTGCGTTACTAACGCAGTAAGTGCTATTTATGCATGACCTCTTTAAGGTAATTTACGTGGGTTGTGTCATTGATAATGTGTAAATTGCATTCTTTTGGATACTGCACAATATTATACTGTTAAATACATTTTCAAATTTTCATGAAAATTAGAATAGAATGAATCTGGAGGCGTGCTGCTTAAAAAGGTTTGTATCTATTTAACTCGTATCTGGGCATAGTTGGATAACACAAGGATAAAACATTATACTATCCTATTTTACCCAGTCCCCATCCTTCACTCCCAATTTTTCAATTCATCTTGCCAGTTATGTTTATTGTTGACATGATTTTGCTTATCCGTTTTTCTGGCGTCCTTCTGTTTTAATCAGACATCCTTGATTTGTCAAAAAGAGGAAAACAATCAACATTTGTAAACTGTAATAAAGTCTTAATACGTCTCTAGGATTATTTCAGAAATTCCATCCGCAATTGCAATATATGACAATATCAATTATAGTAACAATACAATTTTGTTTCATATATGAAATGAATTTTCAAAATCTCGACCGTTCTTTGATTTGCCAATGTCAGCATTGTATTTCCATTTCACATGGCATGCTTTTGAGTGTGTGACTGTCTAGGTGGAGGTGCATTATCTTTTGTTCGCTCCAAACATTTGTGTGATTTGACTGGGAACGCTGGCTGCATTGCTGCAGAAAACGTGCTGAGGAGATGAAATTTGGTACTGTCATCAATTTATGTTTACCTGGTATTCGCCGACGGATTAATGTCATTTTGAACCATTGGCCGTACGCGTGTTCACCTTCACAAGAACAGTGGCGAAGAACAGCTGTTTTTATTGATTATGATCAAGTGTACTCTGTATACCTGCATCAATCAAACAAAGGCGAACAATGATTGGGTAATCACGGCACCACGTGGTGTTGACAGCAGGAATCTACTGGTTGACAAGTGTGGAAGTAGTTACCGCTACACTCGATTAACGATAAACCAAATGACCACCCGTCAATCGAGTTGTGATGTAACAGCCGTGTTTATACAAGATACACAAAGTTTACCGTTATGAGAACTTCAATGAATGGAAGAACTTTTAAAGCAGGTGTTTCATAAACACTTTCTATTCAATTCCCAAAATTGTTACCCCTTTATTAACGGTTATTTGTATTTTTTGTTAAAGTGTGGACCAGACTTATTTGCACACGCGTGTTATTATAACGGGACATCTGTCCCCTTCTCTACGATCTTTCGTTGTCGCGTGCCCGTATTTAAATATTTTTCTTTGTGCCTAATATCACCTGAATAGTTGGTTTAAGAGATGAATTTATTGAATTATTGATATAATTTTCTTTTCATATTTGTCCTCGTTTGAATGTTTAACAGTGGAAAATATAAAATTTATCACATGGTTTGAATTTGATCAAAGTTCTCAAATTTCGTATTCGAAATACTAAATTCACGCCCTTGTTACTGCAAATTTGAGGTAATTATATCTTTAAGGAATGTTTTTATATTGTGATACGGCGTACGTACGGAGTTCAATTCTAAAGTTTTTTGCTTTTAATTAATTATTTCATTCATTCATTTATTCATTTTTATGCGATTTATCGCATTCATATCGATAAACATCGATAAATATCCAAAGTATATTCTAAATCCGACCAGACGAAAAAGGCTTTCAAAAATTTATATAAAATTAATTAGTCATTTAAAAAATATCTTTATTGGCGTTTCACAGAAAATAATTTGTGATCTATTTGCTTGATCTATATTCGTTATCTAAGTTACAAATAATCATAATCTTAAATTGACTAAAGCAGGGGCGACTTCTCTTTACCAGTTGCTGCAATGTGTAGCTTAGTCGCTACATAAGCTGAACGACTTGAATTTTCCCGGACCTATTTTCTCCCTAAGGAAATGCTTCGTCAGGTTCTTTCGAATCTTACGGTATTCCGATTGAAAAAGGCTCTTTTCGAAAAAGCCAAGACTCGAGTGAAAACTAAGATTTATTAATTATCTTTTAAAATTCTAAAATCCATCCATCAGTACCCTAAGTACTTTGATTAATCACCTCAGACGAGAAAACACCTTCGTGAAATGCAGGTGGTTGAAAAGGCAACTATTACTTGTATTTAATAATTAAAAAAAAAGGTAAGGTTATGACTTGAACATTTTCTTTTAAAATGCTCTAATTGTACATTTGTGTATTTCTATTTTATTTTTTGCATCACCCAGGCAACGGTTGTGAATATGAAAGTTTAGAAATTAATTTAGTAGTTAAAATATGGTCAAGTTTACACATTAACAGATTTAACCAAATGATAACCAAACTTATATTTATGTGGTGGTGGTAGATTTCACTCTGGATCACGGCAGTAAGCCAATTTGAAATTATTTGAACACAGTTCAGCAACCGCTTTGTGTCAAGCAGTTTACCAGTATTCGTTTCCTTCACTATCGTAGAAACTGATTACTACTGTATATACCAAAGCAGAGGTACAGTGCGAATGACCATAGAAATGATTTCATGATCAATCCTGCACCGTCCGGGAATCCAAAGCTCTACCTATTGAGCTAACTGGACGGCTCTCTCTCTCTATATATATATGAAAGAAAGTCATGCATAGAAAATTCACACGAAAAATGAAAATAAAAGATAACTGACATTAACTGATAATTTGCCGATGATTAACCCATTACTTCATGAGCATTTTGTGAAAAATGGCTGTTTTCATTGAAAAGTCTCCCGTTACAAGTTCAAATTGCTATAATACTATAAAAACTGCTTCAACACTAATCAAACTTGGCACAAATGTTGACTGGACCATTGCACTTGCAACAACATGCTCAGGCTTAAATTTTCTGTTACCATGGCAACGAGGGGACATCTCAAAATTGCCAAAAATCACTATTTTGCGTTGATTTTTTCCATCAAAATTGATTTCAAAGTGCTGCACTTTCTCAATGGATTGAGATAGAGTCAAATGCTTTTCAGCGTTGGTTACACGTTACCTTATGATCAATCTGGGGTCATTTACAGCCTCTCACAAGTCCAAAAATTTTCTTGGCGATGAGGGGGACTCCGCCCCCCTTCAAACCCCCCAAACAGAAGGGGGCACATCCCCCTTCTGGCAACCCCCTGATGTATCTTTTGGTTGGGGGGCCGCGCCGAAAAAGAGGTCACTTTTTTTAACAACATTTCTCAAACAAAAACAAGTGTTTGCAGCCTAAATAAGGCATTTTTTCATCATTTGAGACAACAAAAAGGGGGGGGGGGGTGAAAAAGGCGTTAAAAGGCGTGTATATGAAGTAATGGGTTAAAGAAACAGTATATTTTTTCCGCCACTTTTTTACATTTATAATATATATATATTATGTGTCAAAATATCCATAAATACCATTTGTGTGGTAGAAAACAAATAGCAATAAGATGGTGAATGTATTCATCTCTTGCATGTAGCAATGTAAAACGAAATGTTTAAGTTATATCCTTACATTTACACGTACTGAGAAACTTTTAAATGATTAAATACTACAGAGATAGAAAATTGTTAGATTTCAATAGATGATATGCGTGTAGAACGCTGGTAAATATTGAAATAACAAATTAATAGTACAAGACTCTTCTCCAACGCCGCCCGGGGTGTGCACATTGCGGAGTCGGCACGGGGCATGTCAAGTCATCTTAAGTACTGGGAATAACTGGTTGACCTGTCAGGAGGGTTTTGTCCTACAGAGGGTTGTTACAGCGAAAGAAGACTGTTGTCACCTCCGATACCTTTCACCATGACCGAAAGAAGGGTAAACGGAAAACAACAGCCAAATTGAAAACGACCGCCTACAGAAAACCTTACTTGACGCGCATGGGCGCAAGTACAAATAACAAGAGGGCCATGATAGCACTTAATCGCTCACCGGAGTAGATGGTTCAAATGAAAAAGTTTGCATTAAGACATTGGTAGTAACATTTCAGCGTGCCGGGGTTTGTGTATCAAAATAATAAATTTGTTGAATTAATATCTTTCATCTCAATATTACATAATGGACTCTATGCAAAGTATATTAACACTGAACAAAACTTTTAAATGGTGACTAGAATTTTAAGCTTTTATTTTTTTTAGCTCTTGCGGCCATCTAGTTCAACAGACTGGTACAAAATTTAAGCAATTTTTATAAAGACCCATCTAATGATCATATCTGTATAGTTTCATTAAAAGCTACAAAACATTATGGAAGACAGGCGTTTAAAGGTTGCTTATGGCTATTTAACACCAGTTTGGATTCTCATGCAGAGGAATTGACCACAAAGGTTAATTGACTTGGAAACTTTTAAATTAAATTGGAAGAATCCAAATTATTCTGTAAGTAGTAACAACACATGGTTTACAATTGTAATTTTTCCATTTATTTTTCTTTTTACTTTTGTAGCCGCACTTCATAATTTGACATCCCATGATTTGATTTAACTTTTAGATAAAAACTAAAGTTAGGCGTCTAAATGTTAACTAAAATCATATTCTAATCAAGTAGCTGTTGGATTGGGCGGATTCTCTTGTAAACTTTCCGCCAAGAACAGTTTTCCAAAGCTCTGAGATGCGAATTCTCCAATTTGTTGACAGTAATTGTCAATCTGGCCTGTAATAAGAAGGCTGTCTAACCTCTGTGGGGTAGGTAGAGGCTTGAAGATTTTATTGATGTCCTCATCAGGAAGAGGTTTGTCTCCACGCTGTACACGCTGCGTATTCTCTTGTTGCTGTAAAAATAAATAAAATAAGTTATAAAGGTATATATCTGTTTGTTTGTTTGGGTTTTACGTCACACCGACACAGTACAGGTCATTTGGCGACGTTGCAGCTTTACTGGTGGAGGATGAAGCATTATTTCAGGCACGAACGTGCACATGAGTAGAACCACTGACGTTCCGTAAGTTAGTTGAATAGCTTCCTCACATAAAAGAATCCCAAGTCCCTGTTGGGATTCGAACCCACAGCGGTGAGAGGCAGCATATATCTGTTAGCAATTCCCAAACAAATGTTTCTTGCTTCTGTTTTTCATAGGAAATTTCTTTATTGTCATCAATTCAAACCATCACAGAGGAAATAGATATATTGTCCAAATCATCACAGAAAGATTATTTGTATAAACATTATTATTCAAGGTCAATTAAGCTTAATGGAACCTGCTTCCTGGAACTAACCAGTACTAGTGTCACATATTGAGACATAGTTGTCACCTTAATAATAGTCAAACCCTGTGTTCATGCTCATCTGTAATACAGTCAATGCCTCAGTATCAATAACCAATTTTTACAAAAAATTATATGTTAAGAAGGGACATAACTAAAATTAAATATTATTTTCAGGATAATGCCCCTTGTCTTACAACTACAGCTTGTTATGATAAGGAAGTGTTCCAAATTTTGCATTGGTATCCTTAAAATGTTTGAATGATGTGCTTCATTAAAGTTTTTGCACAAAATGACCATTATGTAGCAAATAAGAAAGCTCGACTTTTTCATTGAAACAGATAAGCTAGTAATATATACATCAATGCCAATAAGGGAAATATAAATATTGATAAAAAGGCTCACCCTTTTCTGTTGATACTGTTGTTTGGCAAGGTTCTGTTTCTGGTACTGTCGCTGATAGTTGACAAACTTGTTAGCATCCATGGCAATCTCATCTACACTCTCCATCAGTAAACGAAGATTCTTCTCTAACATTGAACTGTTGAAAACGAGAAAATCAGACCTTTAACATACAACAAGAGCTGTCCGTAAGACAGCGCGCTCGACTTTTTTATTGCTTGCCAATAAAAAAAGTTTTTGCAGTAAAAGGCAATACAAGAATCTCTGTATTTTTAAAGTGAACAATGGCCATGAGCATTAAGATATTTAGTGAAGAATTTATTTTTACTGAATTGTGTGATACCCTTGAACACTGCAGGTTCAGTGGATAGGAATGAATTTTTTTAGATTTTTTTAAGTTTTTTAGTGCTTGCCTATAATACAAAACATTGACAGTTAAGGGCCATAATTCAAATAAAATCTTTGACAGAATTACCTTCTCCTGGACATGTTTGGGAATCATGATTGTAAACAAGTATTCCAACTTTCAAATTAATATCTCAAACAGTTCAGTCAAAAAGTGGACTGGTACTAAAAACTTAACCAAGATTCTAAGTCGATAAAAGGCCTTAATTTTTAAAACAAATCCTTGACAGAGTTACCTTCTCTTGCGTACAGATGGGGGTAATGATGTGAAATAGCATTAAAAGTTTCAAAGCAATATCTCAAAGGTTAAGGCAATAAGTGGATTTTACCCATATTCAATGTATTTTCTAAGTCAAAAAAGGGGCATAATTCTGTCAAAAACCTTGACAGAGTTATGTCCTCTTGTCTGTTGATGAAGGTCGTGATGGTAAACAAGTATGGTCAGTTTCAAAGCAATACCTCCAATGGTTTTGAAATAAAGTGAGGTGGTACAAAAAACTTAACCAAGCTCAATACACTTTCTAAGTCAAAAAAGGGCCATAATTCTGTCAAAAACCTTGACAGAGTTATGTACTCTTGTCTGTAGATGGAGGTTATGATGGTGAACAAGTATGGTAAGTTTCAAAGCCATACTTGTAATACTTCTGAAATAAAGTGGGGTGGTACGAAAAACTTAACCAAGGTGTGACGCCAACGCCGACGCCGGGGCGAGTAGGATAGCTCCCCTTTTCATAGAAAAGTCGAGCTAAAAATCATCATACCTGAAACAGGTACGTTTGTTGAAGATCTTATTCTGTGTATTTAGTCAAAAACGTCTCATCCCCTTTAACTCCCAATATAAATTCTTTCATGCCATGTATGTGATCAGCTTATCTATTGAGAGCTTGCGGGTCTAACCCAAGACAGAGCTTTCAGTGCACCTAGTTCAAACATTTGAAAGATGTTTCCGGACCTGTACTTCAAATCTAGGACAGTTCTTTCAACTACCCTGAATAAATGCTTTCTGCTACTTAGGAAAATCTCCTGACCAACATTATTAAATCTTTTTCAAATTAATTTATATCACAAATTTATTCATTTTGATTAAGTTTATAGTTCACTACACTACATATGTCTAGGAACAGAATATGCTGTTTCCCATACTTAAAATTGCTGTTGTAGTGTTCTTGATATCATACATTCAAACTTACCTAGTACCAAGGTCAAGGTAATCGAATGACTGTTTGTCAGAGAGATCTGTATCAAGTTCACACAAAAGACTATTCACAAGATGAGAGTTCTTGATCGTAACTGGGATTTCTGTGAACATGTTCTCAAATGTGATACCAGCAGCTTTGATACTCTCTGGAGAGAAGTCCTGTTCCCTTGATCCATAAAACTTCATCAATTCAGGTGTTAGTCTATATGCCTTCAGTGACAAATATCCTTGAGTTGTTTTCAAAGGATCTGCAAAATGGAAGTCTACATCAGTAAAGAAATAATTTATACTTAGTCTATAATGTAAACAGATTTAAAAAAAAATCAAATCCAAATACTGATTTAAATGAAAACCAAGAATTACAGAAAAATCTTTCCCTAAATAAATGCCTGGAGATTTACACTTGTATAATAAATTCAATCTAATACATGTAATATTAATTCAGAAGTTTTAACATTGAGTTCATAAAGGAACTAGTAAAAACTGCCAGTAAAGGGCACACATAAGTTGAATGAAAAACAAAAACAAACTGGACTTGACTTGTGTTATATTTGCATAACAGATGTTAACAAAAATCAATTCAGACTTTCAAAAGTTATAGTGTTAGAACTAATTGTCTTTGACAGATTAATAAATAGCGAAATACCATACTACATCCATGAAGATACCTCAATGAATGTAATAAACACCTCAAAATTTAGATCTTACCATAAATGAGGACAACAGATTCTTCTATAGAGTGTTGATAGTTGAACTGTGAATCAAGCAGGGCCCTGTTAATAAAGCCACCAAAGTATGTGCTTTGATACCAGCCCACATGAAGATGATCAATGTTGACTTTACGCAGATTTCTCATCATTTCCATCTGGTATTGAACTGAAAATATGAGACACAATTTTTACTCTCACAGTTGACATAGTGCCATTGATGTACACCAACAGGTAAGGTGGCGCTACATATGCAAGTAAGTATATGTACGGCATTGTACACATTATCAATATATTGGTGGGGATGCAGTTCCCACAGGAAGTACCATATAGCAGTGCAGACTTAATAATAAATTATTAGCAGACACTATTTCCATTTTGTAACAAGACAAAAAGTAAAATTCTCGTCTTGTAAACACTAAATAGATTATACCAACAAACATGTTACACATTGTAATTTTGTGTTTATTTTCTTGTACTGTTACAGTATAGAATGTGAAATAAACTGAATAAGAATTTTTCTACAATTTTTTACCATTTGCTACTATAACACAATTATACAGAATTAAGTAATGTATTCAACAAACCAACACTTGTTTTGCACATCAAACAATATTTTGTGTTCTGTTTTATTTGTGATTAAAGCTTGAATATATTTCCAAATGAATAAAGAATTTAATTGAATTGGAAATTAATTATTTTCTGTAAGAAATTTCACTCATCCTATAGGACTAGCATTGCTAGCAGATTTACATGCCTGGAGTAATTACTACTACTCATAATTACAAGTGGACAAGTGGATTTGTCAAGCCCTGGTGCACTTAGTAAATAAAACAAAATTATACTTGTTAAGAATATTAAAAAATTAATATGAAATAAGGTAAAACCTATGAACAGGGAAGTCGTTCATTTTTTACTTTACATTTGGCATTAGGTATTTCATGCACCGCTTTCCTTTTCACTTGGAACACCTCTTCGATTATTATCAAGCCGAAAAATTGTGATTGTTCCGTTATCTGAATACCCCGCCTATTATCATTGAGTAACATTGAAAATGGCTGTGCCCAACTAGACATGACAATGAAAATTTAGGTATAGGTATAGAAATCTATATATTTTTTATTTGATCTCCTTTTAAATTTACATGTGTAGTCTATAGCCGACCAAGCCAAAGCCCGGGGTCTGCTTTGCGAACAAGACCTTTGACTGCCCGGTATTTTTCAGTAAGTGCAATATATTGATCAGCATTTGTTTTGAAAAGAACAAGTTGACATGCCTTCATCGAAATCCTCATCATCATTGTGTCTAGGAAAAGGGAAACAATTTGTGATCTCTAATTTGTTATCAACAACAAGCCCCAATAACACGCCCTGCACAAGATCCTGACCTGCTGTACCCTCCTCCTGACAGTGTTTTACTATCTTTAGAACAACCTGAAATGTATTAGAATATGTTAATTTAGTCTTCTACTCTATTTATTGATTTTTACACCTGGCAAAAATTAAGAAAGCAAAGATAAACACTATTGGATTTAATAAAATAAAGTTTTGGTTATAGTCTGATTTTATTGACCTGTCAATTATGCATACATTATAGAACTCATTTAAATATTCGATCCCACTTCGGTTTGGTCCGTGTAGTTTACGAGAATTAATGTGGAGTATATTAGTCATGGATTGAAAGTCACGCCAGCTTAATGTGAAGGTTTTCGTTAATTCACAATAGTACAGTCGGTTAAGAGAATGCCTGATAATTTAGAGGTCTGTGGTTCGATCCTTGCTGTTGCCATTGTTTTAGTACTCTTTCTTTATTTTTGCCGTATATTTTAATGGAACAGTTTGTAGTGTGTTTTACAGCATTGAAAAGACATTTATTGATTTAAATCCGTTTTAATTTTAAACATGAATTCTTAAAACATGTTATTTAAAAAGAATATAGATATAACAAAATTAAGTAAAACATAATAAAACAAAACGAACAACATAAAATAATCATATATAGCTTCAATATTGTTGAAAGTATTAATAAGAAAATAAAAACATAGACCTACGCGGTCTCGAACTTAAAACACGTGTGGCACTTAGAGTATAAGCTCGTGCTTTACCCTATTGCGCTATAACGCTGAGTACACTTTGTTGAGAGATACAAATTAAATTAAATTCCATCGTACAGCGTACATCTCACGGAACTTACCGAAAATCTACCGAAGATTAATATACTGTGTGCATCGACCGTGTAATCAGTATGTAATTGACAGGTTAATAAAACCAAACAATACCAAAATGAAAAATAATCGCCACTTTAATAACAATATCGCAAATGGTAATAAAAAGCGTCAGCCCGGGATAAATACAGTGTCTATTCTAGGATGCGCGATTCACGCTAGTATTTCACAGATCGCGCACAATTCAAAATCATGTGCGTGAAAATCGCGCATCTATAAAAAAGTTAATAAAATCGTAAAACTTCCATCCTGCATTATATTTGGTTGTTTTGTTTACATTTACATCGGAAACCGAAGGGAGTTAACTGTAAGCTAATTATAGTAATTTAGTACCGTATGGTACTGGTTACGTGAGTTGACGGAAATTAACAGAATGTTCCGTACCAACCGGAACTAGTGTGCTCGGTCTGACAGTTGGGCGCCATTTTAGTGTAGTAAATAATCAAGAAAAACGAGGCAATTCCTAGCTTGGCTACGATCTAGACGTGAAAGATAGGTCGATTGTTTGTATTGTCAATCCCTTTATAATCAATCGCGGCAGTTCTGTAATAATCTGTTTTCGTTTAAAAATTAAGGGGGGACAACTTCTGCTGCCTTAAATAAATAACGCCTCAGTGTAAACTTAATGCAGACGATTTAACATTGGCAGTTTATTTTGGCACCCCTTGATTTTGAAAATCGCCCCCTTTTTTGAAATAGAGGGGGGAAAATCACCCCTATTTTTCAATTCCTAGAATAAACACTGTAAATAGTCACAAGTAGTACATAATTCATAAAGATTGCTTCTTATTCCATCTGAAAGATAAATAAACATTGACACAAGTGCGTGTATTTTGATGTGTATTTTTTGTAGTCTTTAATTTCCTTTTTTTAAGAATCAGTACTATATAGAATGTTTCAAATTCACATAGAAAGTGAATCATACTGAGTTTTATTACTGATAAAGATGTCCCACTCATGTTAAAAGTAAATAAGGATCAGCAAAAGAGGGGGTCACCTCTGGTCAACCCCTTAGAGTCCAAGAGGCTCTCTTGAACATACCTGGGAACTAAACCAAGAGTATATTTAAGTTTCATTCAATTTTCTTAAGTTTATTAAAGCAAGCTCTAAGAGCAGTCCCGAAGGGCCTGCGAGCTTTACGGTAACGAGAGTACTAAAAACTTTCGTCCAAATACCGAATTGAGATTGACACATTGCAACTTTCCGAATTACAAGATAATGATAAAAACCGAGGAATTCTGACTCCTCACTTGCACACTTCAATGGGAACCATAATGGGACAAGGAACCAGAATAAACTGAAGCAGTTTATAAAATACCGAATGACACAAAATTGAACAATTATTTTATACTATTTCACGGTAAAAGGAAAATCGAGCTCGCTTTCAGGCTTTGCCTTTTTCATATTATACAAGTAATGGTTTACTCCTGAAAAAAAATACATAGGGGCCCAATCCAGGAGATTGCCAAAGGGGGTTAAGGACGACCTTGTCCTACCATAAGAACCAGTATCATTCTACAGGTTAGTCCAATATATTAGACGTTACAGGCTTGTTATAGTTTTTGTCGGTCAAGCCTGACGTCTAATAGTTATTGCTCATAAACGCATAGCATCATAAAAAATTCAAAAAATGTCTATTGTCTTGCCTTTCAAGCTTTATTCAAAAGCTTATCATATTTTCTTTCAATTTCATGCTCAATCATACACAAAAACTTTCAAACGATGTACTTATCAGTTTAAAATAAAATATAAACATCAATCTATTTTTGTCTATCAGCCATACTGGTTAAGCAAGGTGCTTTACAGATTGATTCCAAATTTTTGAACGGAAAAATATATTCGAACACACTGACGGTGCATGGGCAATTATTTCGTTAAAAAAATATTCCGTTAGATTGTTCTGACTCAGTTAAACGCTTGCATTTGAATTAGCCAATCAGAATTCGCGCACTTTACGGCCGCCATTTGTTTATCGGCTGTAAAAGGAATTGAAATACACGAGAGGATTTAATCATGATTTTTCGGATGAGACAGTTAATTTATTTTGACAAAAGGTATTTATTTTTTAGTTTTGTTCATAAATAGGTCAAAAATTATGTAAATACACGCTGTCTTCATTGTTTTTCGTTCCGCCCGATTTTCTGGCGGAACATGCTATGGGTTTTTGACAAATTTCGATATGACGTTGCTTTGCCCAGAAGCAAAAATATCTCAAAGCGACGTCATATTTATAGGACTATCTACAGGTATGACGAGAGAAACAAACGGTTCGACATGTTTTAAAAAAAATCAGCAGATTGTATATCCAATCACCATGATTAAAGGAAATTAATGTCTAAATAATCATATGACAGATAAAAGAGTTTGATGTTTCTTTTCATTTATCGTAGATAATCATTAATTGTACGTACTAGTCCGTCAATCTGGACATATTTCACCGGCGAGTCAAACGTGCGGCCTTTGGACGCCATTTTGTTTTAAACAGGAAGCGGAAAAGGATCTCTAAACTACGTAATACACCGTACTAAACCGTACACAATAATAGGTTTAACGCCACAAAATGAATGCAAAACGTTTCAATATTGATGAGACGTTTCATTCCCAAGACGGTTCACACCTAAACGTTTCACTCCCATTTTGTTAGGTGTATAGACGTTTCACTCCAAATTATTTCAATGTGTGATGTTACATAAAAAACTTGACTTCCATTTCAAATGATGATATATTTTTTGTGCTAGTAAAAATAATGTTTAATGCCTAACTTTATTACAGAAATAGAAAAATTTATGAAAAGAAAAGTGTTCTAACGTAATCAAACATGACTTATTTAATTGAACTTTCTAAAAAAAATATTATGACATGATTAAATTTATTTATCATTACATAAGTTAGTGTGATAATTTTACAGTAATAAATGGACCCCATTGGAAATAAGCTTGTAGCTTAATGAGCAATCCTAGGGTAACATGAAACATACTAATTAATTAATTTTATAATTATTTTGTTGCATTTTTTGTGTGTTTTTATATATATGCTAGTTAATATATGTGATATTATTATATGTGTTTATGTATATTCCCTGAATAAATTGATACGATGTACAAACTTTAGCACACACAAATTTAAAGTAACTGAAATGCCCCTTTTAAGTAAATCTAATCAATTTTATGGTCAGTTATTAATCAAATACTATTAAACTTTATATCAAGTGATTTTATTTAATTAAAGTATCGAATCTATTTCGTCATAAAAATAACAAATTTACAAAGTAACTGAACAAATTTACATATACACATCTACATTATACTGCTTCAAAATCGTTTACGATTACACTAAGCAGGCGAATTGTCTGGGAGTAGCTGTTGAAACAAATGTGTCAAGTGCAAATTTATAGGTATAAGATAAAAAGCAAGTTAAAAGAAAACTATAAGACTGAGATAAAAAGATTAAAGTAACTGAAATGCTTTTTAAGTCAATATAATAAATTTCATGGCCACTTGTTCGTAAAAAGAATTTTAACTTTATATGAAAAGATTTTTTTTTATCAAAGGATCAATTTTATTTTGGAATAAAAATAGGGAGTAAAACGTCTTCAAGACTTGTCAAAGTCTTGGTGTTAACCATCTTGGGAATGAAACGTCTGCCTACAAACATCCTATTTATAAATTCCGAAAAGTTCTATTCCTATACTACTGTAACTATGTTATCTAGGAAACTGGATGAAATGACACATTCTGTTACCCATAAAGGCAGAGACTTTTATAACATATAAATAACCACGAGTTTTATTTTACATGGCTTAAGATTTTGTCAAATTACGACAGGGTATGTAAAATTTTGTACAACACTTACCTTGCAAAGACTAAATCTGTTTTATTAAACTTAATGAAATATTATTTTATGTTATGACAGATAAAATTATATGATAAAGCAATGCATTAATGGTGACGTGGAATCTTCGGCTTGTTCAACGTGATCATCTGAAAATGCCAATATCTATATTGGTTCTGTAACGTGCATCGAGCAAATTACTGACAAATGGTGTACATAAAGGGAAACACAATTTTTGAAGTGTGAGCCCTTTAAAAAATAAATAATACCCGCAAAACTGTCGATTATTGTATATATGAAAATGCTCAGTTCTATTAATAACAACAGGGCAATATTAGCTCTTCTTGAAATAGTCTTGCGACGAATACTATATCTTTTTATATGTCAGTTATCATAAAATCTTACTACCGTACACGTATACGTATTTCCATAAAATAAAACATACTGTACGTATATATTATAATCAGATCATTTACAGACGAAGAAGAAGAAGGAAAAAGAAGATTGAGGAACAGATGATGAGGATTATGATAATTATCATGATGATAAAGTGGAGGCATTAATGAAATACTTCTTTCTAATTATCTAAATACGATGTTATTTCTGTATTCAACTTTTAATATTACCATACTGTAGTGCTATAATATTAATTATCGATTATATAATGTAAGTCTCTGATATAACAAATCCGAAATTATTGCTAATTATGTGACACATTTTTTTTCAAAAATTAATTGAATGGTTAATAGCATTTTTTCTTTTTTTTTTTTTTTTATAAATTACCTATCAATCTTTCATTGAAACAGTATGTTTTATTTGAAATTTAATTAAAAATATTTAGTAGTGTTCAACATTGATATTGTATGTAAAAGTTACTTCCCTTTTATTAACATTTCACCATTTGCAATCGCATAAGCGCAGGAGAAAACTGATCAGCGAGTCCCAAAAAGATATATAGCTAGGATATTGACAGAAACTTAAATTCAATATAGCTCTATGATATTGATGAAGGAAGGTACCAGATACTAAAACTTTTCATAAAATGTACTGTATTTAGTCCTATAAATATGACGTTGCTTTGAGGTATTTTTTTACTTTTTCAAGTTTTTGGCAAAGCAACCATCATAAACAGTGATAAACACAAGTAAACTGTAACAAGCCCATAACTTGTGATAAATTGGACTAGTACTGTATCATGAAATGAATGAAGAATCACTGGATCTCTTAGCACAGGAGTTTAACATTCAGGGGTTTAAATTCACTGGCACCAGAGTCCTAAAATAATCATTAAATAGATGAAATTATACCCATATAACACAAACTGCCCGAAATATTATCAGAAAAAAAATTCAGACACACCCCCGTATATACTGTCATATATAAATTATATGTGACAGTATATACGGGGGTGTGTCTGAATTTTTTTTTCTGATAATATTTCGGGCAGTTTGTGTTATATGGGTATAATTTCATCTATTTAATGATTATTTTAGGACTCTGGTGCCAGTGCCCTGCTGGTAAAAATAGAACGTACTGGACGAAAGTTATAAACAACCGTAAAACTGCTATGGGCCAAAAACTGCTAGGAAACCAGTAAGCTATAAGCTTATTTCCAATGGGGTCCATTAAATATGAATGATATCTGAATAAAACTCAGTTATGGCCATACCTCAGAGACAATATTAAACAGTTCAGCTTTTAAATTTTTAAATTTATTTTGAATAATGTTAGAAAGTATCCAGAAAGTATGTCATTGCCTCCAGATTGGTTCAGGATTTTTGTCATACAAATCTTATGTTTGTACAAACAATGAAACTGCCAGTGTATTTACAGGTATATGGTATGTAGACCCATTTGCAACCCAAAAGGATGACTAGTGACCTTACTACTTATTTGAGCAGTGAGTAATGAAAAGGTTGCTTTTGTTTAGGCTATAAATTTCTGTTTACCTTATTTCAGACTGCTGAATAGGAGCATGAGTAAAGTTCTGGAGAAACCAGCAAGGAAACTGTTTCTTTTAGACTTAAGTAGGTGTCATGAAATTATTGACCGTCCCTCACCTGGAAGTGATGCCTCCTCGACTCCTGTGAAGAAATGGTCTGCAGATTGTTCAGGGTTGACTGTAATGTTTTCTATGGTCACAGTACAAGGGGTAGTCATAGAGGTAGTGCATTATTGAATTGTTGAGCTGTCATGCCAATATATCATCTATAATTTAATATTATATTCAGATTAAAATTCAATATTGATTCACAATTAAGAATATCAATAAACTTAAAACCCACTTCTTCCTGTCTTGTGAGCATATCTGTTTTGTCTTAACAGAAAAATCTATTCTCTCCCTTTTTATAAGCCAAAAAAATTTGGCGTTTAATGTTCTGCACCTGGTCGTCCGTCCACCAATGTATTAGCAGGTTTCGTGCCTAGTCTGTATTTTTTGAACGGTTGGAATGAATTGAAACTACGTGGCAGAAGTGTTAACCATGAGACAATGTGCAGAGTACAGGTTTGGACTTTCTCAGGGGGTCACTAGATTTTTATAGGCTTTGTATATGAAAACACATTTAAGTCTTATTTTGTGAAACTACTGTGCCCAGAGCTTAGATATTTGGCATGTAGCACAATGCTTTGTGGGCCTCTACAAAAAGTGATATTATTCAAGTCCCTTTGGTCTATAAAATCTGTTGTTGTTTCTTTAAGCTTATACATGTATATTAAAATATATTTCTTGAACTCTGGCAAAATTGATTAGTTTGGTTAGCACATCTGTGGTCTCAAATAAAAATAAAAACCCCAGGTATCACTTTTTACTAATGCTTTCCTCCCCTCCGCCAGAGAAAAACTAAAAAAAAATGGGAATATAGTACATCACCCTACATCTGAATTTTTCAGACCATCACAGGTTAGAAATCCTTGCCTCACACCTGATAATTAAATCATGAATGCAAAATAAAAGTTGTTATTGTTTTGTAGGTGAAGGACAATGGAGATTGTTTCCTGTTAGATGATGGCACTGCTGTAGCTGCTGTAAGAGGATGTAAAAAGATACAATTCCAAACATCCAAACCTGTGAAAGGTACCCTTCTTAAAACAAAACAAAAACTAACTTATAATTATGTAAATTATCTTCTTTTTTTTATTTGCCCGTTTGAAAAATGGGTTATAGTTTCCCCCCTGGCGGGTGGGTGGCCGGGCGGGCGGCGTCCAATATTTGTTCGAAGCATATCTCCTTCATTCATGGAGGAATTTAAATGAAACTTCATAGAAATGTTAACAATTATTAGAAGCTGTGTTGCGCATATGAACCAGGCCTCTAGGTTAAAGGTCAAGGTCACACGTAGAGGTCATTGAAAAACACTTGTCCGGAGCAAAACTTCTACATGCATAGAGGGATTTCAATATAACTTGGCACAAATGTTCACTATTGTGAGGCGGAGTGTCGCGTGCAAAATTTATGTCCCTGCGGCCAAGGTCAAGGTCACACATAGGGGTCAAAGTTCAGATAAAAATATGAAAATGTGTATTGGGACCATTTAGTCATCATTTATTGAGGGATTGAAACACAAATGGTCATTATCATGACTACTGGTGTGAAACATGTAATTTAGATTAACATATGCAAGGTCAAGGTCACTTAAGATGATTGCCAAGGTCACTAAAGATGATAAAATATAGAGATTTTGTCCAGAACATATCTCCTACACATATGAAGGGATTCTAATGAAACTTCATAGAAATGTTCACCACTATGAGAAGCTGTGTCACACGCATGAACCAGGCCTCTAGGTCAAAGGTCAAGGTCACACTTAGAGGTCATAGAAAAATGCTTGTCCGGAGCAAAACTTCTACATGCATAGAGGGATTTCAATATAACTTGGCACAAATGTTCACTATTGTGAGGCGGAGTGTCGTGGCAAAATTTATGTCCCTGCGGCCAAGGTCAAGGTCACACATAGGGGTCAAAGTTCAGATAAAAATATGAAAATGTGTATTGGGACCATTTAGTCATCATTTATTGAAGGATTGAAACACAAATGGTCATTATCATGACTACTGGTGTGAAACATGTAATTTAGGTTAATATATGCAAGGTCAAGGTCACTAAAGATGATTGTGAAGGTCACTAAAGATGATAAAATATAAAGATTTTGTCCAGAGCATATCTCCTACACATACGGAAAGATTGTAATGAAACTTCAAACAAATGTTCACCACTATGAGAAGCTGTGTCCTGTGCATGAACCAGGTCTCTAGGTCAAAGGTCAAGGTCACACTTAGAGGTCATTTAAAAATGCTTAACCAGAGCAAAACTTCTTCATGCATAGAGGGATTTCAATTTAACTTGGCACAAATGTTCACTATTGTGAGGCGGAGTGTTGCGCGCAAAATTTAGGTCCCTGCGGCTAAGTTCAAGGTCACACATAGGGGTCAAATTTCAGATAAAAAATCACTAGAGATGATAATGTATCCAGATTTTTTCCAGATATTGCCCAGAGCATATCTCCTATATGTATATTCTGTAATGCCCACATCTCTCAAAAGCTTCTGTGATGGGTGTATATTGCGACAATGTTGCCCTTGTTTTTTATTTATTGACATATTTATTTAAGATTTTCAGTCTTAATTCATTTTGGACGATCATCAAAACCCACTTTAGTCATCTAAATAAATTCATGTAATGCATACCCCTGTGTTACCGAAGGTAATTTTGGAGATACATGAACATATAGAGTCAGTGCAACTTACAAAAAATAATGAAACATCTTCAAAGTAACAACCGATTGTAGTTGTTGTTAATGGGTGTCGATTTCCAGAGATTAAGAGTTTATTGCACTGCAGATGGACATTTTGCATAAATCACAGTGTACATTTTATATTAGCATAAGGAATGAATTAAAAGAAAAATTAGTCCTTTAAAGTTACTATACATGATGCTTGATTCTAAACAAGATACATACAAAATTCTAACTTTTTTCTTTACTGAATAAAATTCTATCTTTACAATGAGCAAGCACTTTGTCATGTTTATTTTTAGCAAAGTAGGAGATTTTTTTGCATATCTTTACAAGTAATAGGTAATTTTATTGTAAAATGTAAATGTATAGTTTTGATGTATAATCATTTAATTTGTATTTTTGACATATTAATTCATTAGAACAATTTTTATTTTTCCATAAAAATTATCATAAATATAGAGGGGTGCTGCTTTAAAGTTAAATCTATATTCTACAGTTAATTGAATTGTTAATTGTTCCGAAAATCTTTCGCAATGATTACTGTTTCTTATACTTTCAGGACAGTATGTAATGGTAGTTGGTCAATTGTTAAAAACTGGACAATGTCCTCTCCTACGTGCAACCAAGCTTCAGAATCTTAGTCACAATGTTGCCATGGCAACCATCTGGCCCCTAGAGGTCATAGATGGGCTACAGCAGAATCCTGATATAACCTGATAGTTGGTTCAAATACCAAAATGCAATGGACTTAAGTTGATGCATTGATTTACAGAGAAAACACTTCCATGTTTTCACAGATCATGTGGTGACCTTCAACACAGTTTACAACATTTTGAATGTGCTATTTGTGCCATTTAATCACATGACATTGCTTGTTGTCAATATGATGTCATTATGTATTTGGTTTACATGTATTAGTCATGTTTAGCATCATCAATCCTATGTAAGACAGTGGATGAAGTTATTGTAAACAATGGTACCTATAATAGCGATTTTGAAGGTTTTACCACAGGCTTCCTTTATAATGCTTTCCTTGCCTTGTTTAATTTTTCTATATGAGATGACATTTTAAGTAAGATCCTGTTTATAAATTACATACCACTTAAAACATACAATTCGTTTTTGTTTTGAACATCAGTTAGACTATGGGATGATCTGATATATTTAAACTGTATTGTATCTGAAGTCAAGTGTAAAACAGCTGAAACTTTAAAATATTTGATAGTTTTAGCTTGACTTTTTCAGAAAAAAATAAATGAGCTGTTGGCCATTATTGTTATATTTCTGCATGGATTGTCTTCATACTTGGACACAACAATCCTTTGGACAAGACCTTGAAGAAGACAAGATTGACATTGACCTTAATTTGACCTTGGCTCTTAAGGTTTAATTAGTGAATTTTGCTACACTTGGTAGTTATTAACAGATTTGATTTGTATTTGGACAAAAGAACACTTATGACAAAACCTTTATGTTGGAAATATGTCAAATATGACTATGACTTTTATTTGATTGTGAATGTCAAGGTCAAACTATTGAAATTTGCATAAACTGATATACCTTCGTTATTTATTTACAGATTTAATTCATACTTACACATACAAAAGAACAAATATAACTAACAAGTTGAATTATTTGGACCAAAGAACACATATGACAAAACCGACATGATGAATGACAGAAATGTGACCTTGACCTTCAATTGACCTTGACTGTTAAGGTCAGATAAGAAATTTAAATATTTTACTTGTTACCAAAAAATTAAGTTTTGTAGGAGTATCCTTTACTTTAATATTCTTTCTTCGCTGTGTTTGATATTAGAAATAAGAAAAAGTCATGTGTGACCGCTAGGTGATGACTCTTGTTAAAAAGTTTTCAATTAAAAAACGTCATGAGGTATAAGATTCTGCATTCTGTATCGTGTTTTTATTTTGCCGATATGTATGAAGGAGTAACAAAGCTGTTGTAGACAGCACACATAGTTCATAAATTGTCTTATAAAGAAATTACAATGCTGTATAAACACATTTTTAATGAAAAAAGAAAAATGCATATTATGAAGGAACTTTATAAATTGTCTATCTTCAAACATTCAGCTAAAAATAAATGATATATAAAACAAATTATTCAATTGTTATTTAACCTTCACTGCCTGTAATCTTTCTTGTTAAATTTGCCATATATTCATTTATGATCTAAATAGTGGTACCATTACCACTAGACTTACTCTGTATGGTATGATTCTGGATGATTGAGAATAGGAAAATGCATTTGAAATGTATACAAGACAAACTAAAACAGGAAAACGTTTTTTTACGCTTTCATATTTAAAATTCTTATTCGTAAATTATGTGTGAATTTCAATCCAGCAAACTAATTACATGTACTTATTAATTCTGGAACAGTATTGTCCAGATCTGAATGGTGAATATCTTATCCCAGGGCCAAAAACCCTTCTTTGTGGACGCCAAATATAGGCTGCTTCCCCAACCAAACTTGCCTCTTTTTTTCCCCAGTTTGGTCCTTAAAATTCCCCAGTCCTTTGAAATTTCCCAAAGAATTTAAAACAAAGTTAAAAATGATGGTGTTGAATTAAGGTCTTTTACTGCCTAATTAGTATTTCCTGGTGCTTTTTGCTTTTCTATTTAGAAAAACTTGTTAAAAGTTTTTGTTAAATTTGAGACCCTTTTCCCAAAGTATGCAAGAATCATGCATATTTTCCCCATGAAAAAGGCTGAGGCCCCTTCCCCAAAAATGGTGTTTTGGACCTGTATCCAAGTAATAGTTACAGCATGATAGTTTTTACCACTTTGATTCCATCTGTCCAACACTGCCAAGCCAATGAGACAGTTTTATTTTGACTGAGGAATATGTCCAACTAGAGTGTAAGGGTATTTAGCAAAGGTTTTACAATCTGACTGTTCCAGCAGTGTGGGGTCTTTATTGGTTATTCCAGAAGTCCCTTCAGGCTTCTATACCCTGTATTGGCAGGATTACAATTAAATGACTGGTGCATACAATTAAATTAAGGAATGATTAATACAGTGAAAAGAAAATATGAGGCTCTTTTGTATCACAGCATTTAAAGTTATCAATTACCTCTGCTCACAATAAAAAACAGACAGAGAATTGAAATACTGCCTCAAAGCATCAAAATAATTCTTGCGACCAATAGAACTATGTTCTTGACCTTTTAATTGGAACCAAACCAAAAATGATTATTACTGGCTGACACGCCACCAGTATAATAGCCAGGTCAGCCTGCTTATCTGTGCAGTCTTGCAAGGCTCGGTGCTACTGGTAATATTGTGTGTTGCAGGCAGAAATCCACATCCTTTGGTCAATGAGGTCAAAGTTCAAATGAAAATTTGTGTCAAGGTCATTAAAGATGATGAAATGTCCAGGTAGCTTTCAGCTTTGTTTCAGTTTGATATGTAGCATATCTTTTAAATGCATAGAATCAAAGTATTACTTGACACAAACATATACAATTTCACCACTCTGCAAAACACATAAAGATCTCCATGTCAAAGGTCAATGACTCATTTGAAGGTCAAAAGAAAAGGCTTGTATTCTACATGCATAGAGGAATAATAGTATTACTTAAGAAAAAAAGTAAAATGTTCACCACTATGAAATGATTTGTCTTGCATAATTATGAATCAGGTGTTAAGGTCAAAGACCAAGGTCACACTTGGAGATCAAAGAAAATGCTTGTCTGGAGGAAACTTATACATGTGTAAGGAGACTTTAATAGTACATGGTACAGATGTTAACCATTGCAATTAAAATTTGTGAACGGACAATTTGGTAGTTTTGAGTTCATCGATTATATTAAACAAATTTCACACTCACAAGACTGAGTATTGCCTGCATAATCCAGGTGAATATTTGCAAAGTCATGAAAGATGATGAAATGTCCATATTTTTTCTTAAGCATAACTTCTTTAATTATGCATGGATTTCAGTAATTTTTTATATAAATTTTTACACCTGAGATGTAGGTAGCCAGGTCTTTAGGTTTAAGGTCAAGGTCATGCTAAAAGATCATGTAACTCATTTTTATGGTTTTATATCATAATTATGATGCTCAAATAAATATTTATCAATATTGTAAGTTCAAAAAAGCATTATTTGTAAAGATACATTTGTCATTACCGAATTTACATTTCATGTACAAATAAAGGGATGTAACCGGTAATTAGAAATTGATTTTCTTAAAGGCCTAAATTTAAAGCCAAATGTTTCAATAAGAAATTAATGCAAATATTTTAATTATTACATATAATGTGCTTAAACATTTGCAGTACATATGTTTTAACATAATCTTGATGTTAGAAAATTGTTTTAGAAGAATAATTATATACATATATAAAATTTCACAAAAGTGTCATGTAACAACCTTAAGTACAACATACAGAGTCTTTAATGAGGTTAGAGGAAAATGCTAAATGTCTGGAACCAAACTTCCACATTATAACTTAGAGTCATAAAGCATAATTATAAGCTAAATAGTCATACAATACTTTTTTATTATCAAAAATAAATTCTAAGTAATCAAATTTGCAGCTTGAATACAAAGTATAGTGTAGCACCTTGAGGTTGAAGTACCTTCTTATAAATGGTATTGATATATATGTTTGTTTTTAAGCGAACAGCCAGTAAACATTTACAAAAAAATAAACATTGGACTACCTAAGTGTGTGCCAGAATGTTGCACTTAAAATACAATAACCTGTTCACATTTTTATAATAAAATATCACTTTAGTTAATGTCACAAAAGTGACTACATTTAAGAAATGGTGGAAGAGCCTGAACATTCACATTTACAAATATTTAGTGGTGTTGAACGTATAAAATGAAAATATTTAGTAGTGTGAAGAGTAAATTCTATGACGTGTAAAGATAATTTATTTTATTTAATACTATTTTACATTTTCACGCTATTATATGATCCCTCACTGCTAAAATATTAGCTGAAATATCATTTATATTCGAAAATATTGTAATATTTTAAAAATAATGTTATTTTTAAAACATTAAAATACCGGAAGTTGACTTTGCTCAGAAAAATCCAAAATGGCGTGGCAGCCAGAAGAAAACGGTCTCGGGCAAATTTTACAACTGTTAAAGGAGTCTCAGTCACCTGACAATGCCACACAAAGAGCTGTTCAACAAGTATCCTTTGCGTTAAGTTTGATCTCTTATTTTTTGTCATATACTTCTTTGACAATTTTCGTTTTGCCGCACGAAAATTGCCTTTATACCCACGTGCTTTTGAATTGGGGGCAAAATGGAAAAGTTTTGTGTAGTCTACAACCCGCATTTTTAAATGAAAAACACTTAAATATCTACCAGTTATTTTTTTGTTTGTATAATCAAGTGACATGTAAGGTATTTCCTTGGTAGTAAAATATTTATTAACGAGTTAAATTCATGATAAATTATTTTCTTGATTTTTTTTTTTTCTTTTTTTTGAATGGAAGAAACGCAAGAATTGTCTAGTTATGAGTTATACGGTATGATAACAATGTAAGGAAAGTTTTGTTCAATTTTGCCAATTGACTTTGTAACCAAACTATTTAGCATGACTTTTAATGAAAAACATGAAAATTAAGGGACACTTCTGTAGAACGAGTGTATATCAAAATCCCCTTGATCATAATCCCCTTGGTTGAAAAATGACATAGTGATCGAAATCCCCTCAACAGAAATGACCGGGTGTTCATAATCCCCTTGATGGATAGTCAAAATCCCCTTGGCAAAAATGATGGGGTGGTCAAAATCCCCTCAACTTGTGAAAAACAACCCCCTTTACTCAAAATTCTTTTTCCTTTGATCTTTTGTCACTCCAGCTAAACTATTGTGTTACATAAAGAAATGTTGCAAACAGCAGTTACATTGAGTAGAGGAAAGAGTATGGAGTATACTTTAGCAATATAATACAGGTTATTTTTAAATACTCCAATGTTGTTAACTGCAATTAATAGCCTCATTTTAAGTTATTATCTGGAAAGATCTAAAGCTAGTGTGCAACAAATTTGCCTTTAAAGGTGTTTATCATTGCAAAGATTAATTGATTGTTTGTTACATATAACTATAATTGCAATGATTAATTATAATCAACTATCATTTATTTGTTTGTATTTTACAATTTTCTCAGCAATAATAACATCAATAAAGGGGGCCATTATTAACTGGCTGTGACAAACATACACCTTTTAATTGTTTGTATGCTTTTCTCTTTTTTTTCAGCAATTCTTGAAGCAGTTGGTTCTTAAATTCATTGAACTAAAAAGAAAAATAAGAAAAGAAATTTCCCAACCATTTCACATTATTTGAGGGGATTTTGACTACCCACTGAGGGGATTATGACCACCCCTTTATTTTTGCCAAGGGGATTATGATAACCCTGTCATTTCTGTTGAGGGGATTTCGATCACTATGTCGTTTATCAACCAAGGGGATTATGATCAAGGGGATTTTGAGCGTCTCCCCTGTAGAACAAGCATGCTCAGCTGCTGGTGAGTCTGATTATGTGAGAAGCATACTAAATGAAACAATGTTTAAGTTGCAACAGGTGTTGGATATAAAATTTTATCCAGCGTGATTCTGACATATGATAAACCAGAGTATTGTATTTATTATGTTTTTCATTTAAAATAATACATCAATTTGTAGATAGATATTGTATTGTTGTAGAACATTACATGGAATACTTGGCCAAAAAACAGATATTTCTAAGTTTGTTTAGTATCAGATTTATAAAATTACTAATTTTTAGAATGCTTATCAAGCTGTTTTTGGAAAATTTTATACATGATTTTCTAAAAATGTACTTTCAATTTCTAAATTTAGACATCAGTCACTTTTTGAAACATACAAGTTTATCAGTGGACATAGGCTATAGATAAAAGAAATGGCAGGCCCAAAATAATTTATCAGGGATCCTTCTAGCCCTGAATTTTAGGGTGAAGTGCTCATTATACAGAGAAAATAAAAAGTGAGTGCTAATTTATAAGGTTGTTGATGATTTTTTGTCATAGGATAGTTCATTGGAACAACTGCAAATAAAAATTTCAAATACTTGTTTTTACATGTTCATTTGGGTTTCTTGCCCCCCCCCCCCCCCCCCCCCCCAGTTTTACATGTTTCATTTTGGGTTTGAAAAACTTTCTTGCCTACTCCAGTTAATCAGCTAGCAAGATATCAAAGACACTTCTTTTTTCCTGTACAACCATTCTTGCAGACAACAGCGAAAATCACAGGATATATCACCACTAAGTAACAATGCTGATAGAAACTCATTTACATATCCAATTTTTCACCAATTGTCTAGACAATTGTAAACATCAAAACATAACCAACTAGGCTTACTGGCAAATTTATATGATAAGTAGGTCACCAATTGGTCCTGATAGGTGATATCCAGCAGGGCTAGAATTTAACACTCGCAAACTCGCAAAATGCTAGTTGAAAAATGATTTTGCGAGCAGGCTTCGCGAAAGTTGCCGGACCGTCTGACATGTCCGGCAAAAATCAGGCCCGTCCGATTTTTTTTTCCGGAGTTCCGGACCTTATGTCCGGTACGAATACCGGGATATATCCAAGACCGATCAAGACCGAGTTTTCTCCCTTGATTAAAAAAATGTAAAACAAGTTTTGATTCGCCGTTTCATTATAAGTGTCCAATACATATGACTGTCAATAACCAAAATGACGGTGTTACTACATTATTACGCTGGCGCTACGCCCGGCAAAAATCGTAAACTATCCAATGAAGAAAAAAAAGCGAAACAAAAGGAATACGAGTCCAGGCGCCTGCCGAGAAAATTTGTGGGTACCCGGTAAATGGAAAAATGGCTGCTTTGATCATGAATGTTTTGATTTCCAGACAGAGTCCATCCACAGGTGCTTGAAACAAACTTTTTAAAGTTTTATATGGGCTATATACTATATATCTTTATATACATATATAGACTGGTTATGTAAAATATTTGATTATGTGACTAGCGCCTGTGAGTCCATCAATTTTGGATAAACTAATGTTTTATTTAAAGGAATAAAATTGTGTTGCAAACCTTTAAAAGTTGTTATGTCTTTAAAAAAAACAACACCAAGGTATTACCATATACATAATTATATTTGGGGAAAAAAAATTCGGTCAGACAAAAGTTCTTTCGGTCAGACAAGAATTGAAAGTTTGTCTGACCGAATGTCAGGCAAATTTTTCAGCAGTTTCGCGAAGCCTGTGCGAGTTAGATTTATGACTACTCGCAATTTTTTGCGAGTTGAAGAAAAAACGGAACACGCTCATGAGGAAAATCCGAAATATAAATGGGGCGTAATATTGGCAGGTAGCCGAGTTATAAACTAACGCGCGCACTTGCTGTCTGGTTTACATTTTCTATACCTTAACCTCGCTTTTAAAAAAGTACACAAATTTAAACAAGTCCAAATGTCATTTTGTCAGTGTAAATCAAACGTGATCGGAATAAAATGTCTAAACGAAAAATAACAAACTTCTTCCCACTTACTGAAGCAAATGTGTCTTCCGATAACAATAATCTGAGTACAGAAGATGATTCACAGTCTATCAAAAGAAAGACAATCGGACCTTCAGTGAAAACGGTTAAAAAATGGGAGAAAGAACTGCACGTCAGTCTTACGTACGAACTCGATGACGATGGAAATGTTGCCAAAATATTTTTGTTGTGAGCATAATCCAGACCAGACATCGTCGGTATGGCGACAATATTGCATTATTATTTTTTTTACATATAGATTGACATTTGATAAGAATCCCTGTCCCCTAAATCAAGTTTTTGAGTAGAAAGTTATGTTGCTGATTCGTACCCCGAGCAGTTCGAACTCGTCCAAATAAATTACAATTTTAATTTTGTTATTCTCTAATTAAAAATCATTGTGGTAAAAAGTGCTAGTTGAATTCAGATTTTGCTAGTTAAAAATTTGTCCACTATCAAAAAATTGCTAGTGGCCAAAAAAGTTAAATTCGAGCCCTGAAAAATTCCAGCACTCTGCAAATGTGGGATTTCCTAGCTAATCCCCTGGTACAAACTTTTACTGTTACAGTTTCACAGTGCACTACTGGTTGCAATAGATTAGTCAAACTGTTGCGTTTATTTTGGAAGCTGTATTAGTGAAAGTTTGTTTGTACCCCTGGATTAGCTTGGGAAAATCCAAAATTTTCTTAATTCTGAAAAGAATCACCTAATCTGTTTAATTGTTGTTAATTGATTGACAGAAGCAACGATGTCACAAATTAACTTCAAACATTTGCCTTGTTTTGCTGATTTACTGACCAGTAAAAATGGGTTAAATAGATTGTTTTGAAATAGACAGAGCCTGGACGAATCTGACACTTGGAAAATTAATGAAATTTTTTCTAAATGAGGGTGACTTCATTTTACAAAATTACAGAAATAAAGAGAGTAAAAATTACTGTTTCTTCCAAGTTGGCTAGAAATAAGATCTCTGTGACCCATTTTAAAGGATCAACCACAGATTTGTCATAACCCTTAACTTAGACAGTCAATGTTAAGGCAGAAAACCTCCAGATAAATAAACTATAGTTTATTTAGATTCTTTTTCTTTTTTGTTGTTCAAAAATTTAGAACATATTGAAATGTTGAAATGAGCAAAAATTTAAATATAATGTGGCATTTACACAGAAAGTTTATATTATGTGTTTAAGGATGCATATGCTAGAATAAAAAAAGTTCCAAGCTGAATCAAGTTCCAGGATTAAACAGTGTCAAAAAGTTTGAAAAAGAATTTAAGTGATTACATATATGTTGAAATCATGCCTCTTTTTCAATTTGCATGTGTCTCAGGCAGGGAATATTCATCTACAATAATTACAATAATAAAAAGTCATGTACATTGTAAGGCAGTAACAACCAACATAAATTGCTTAAAAATGTAATTAAGTATGTTTAAATGTCTCCTTCAGTAATGTTGAGAGTACAGGTAGTTAATGTATTAATTAATAATTTCCTTAATGAGTAAACCAGAAACTGGAAGAGTTGAACAAGTTTCCAGACTTCAACAACTATTTGATTTTTGTCCTCACAAAGTTGAAGAATGAAGGTGAGATACTGTCAGAGATATTTCTGTAGATTTGTGATTAAAAAAAAACAGTTCCTAAAGCTTGCTTGACTAGTTACAGTTATAGGCTTTTCAAAAGGCCTATGTAAATTTTTCAAACAGCTGAGGGGTGCTTTTCTTTGGCCTTTGATTAAATGGAAAAAAGTTTTATAATTCTGAACATATTTTTTCTACAGTAGTTTATATACCTGTGCACATTTCGTGATATGTTTGTCTTGTATGATTTAACTGAATCCAATATAACATTATAAAAAGCTTAAAGGGGGTGTTGAAATAATTCTCAACTATGTAATGAAATATTTAGGGAAGTTTATCAAAATGATTCACTTCACACTTTAAAATAAAACAATTTAGGCCTTTTTTCACAGATATGTTAAGGGGTCCTTGAAATAATACAGTATTTTTTTTGCAGAAAATATGAAAAAATTAAGTAAATTGAATTTAAAGGGAAAACTGCATGATTTTCCAGAATTTTTCAGCAGGAAGTTGTATGCAGATAGTCCCCTCCTATAAGCAATAGGAGAAAAAAGCCCTGTTATCCACATTCATTGAGGTCTAAAAGCCGAAAGACATAAAATCTTAAAATCTTACAAACATATTAATTGAAAATGGATATTTAGTAGAATTTATAGCCCTGTTTGAGTTAAAGCATTTAAACATGTTCATTAAACGCTAAACATTTTAAGGTATTTTGCAAAATAAAAATGATAATACTGGAAAAAAGAGTGAGCGAATGATTTGAAATTTTGCGCTCAAGTTATAGGTATAGAACTTCATCATAAAGTTTAATATTCTCTTAAAAAATATTTCCAGCCTAATCAAGTGGAGTCCCTTTAATTGTTTTCATCAGAAGTACATAATTTAATGGCAAAGACTGCAAAAAGTATAATTGTATAAAACAAATAGACATGAAAATTTTGTCTGGCATTGCAGATGACCCAACAAGATCCTTGAGTGGATTAATCCTGAAGAACAATGTACGAGCCCAATTTGAGAAGTTCCCTCCTGAAGTTGCCTCCTTCATAAAGTCAGAATGTTTGAACAGTATTGGCGATCCATCCCCACTGATCAGAGCTACCATTGGTATTTTGATCACTACCATAGTGGCGAAGGGTGACCTTCGTAACTGGCAAGAATTGTTACCAGCACTATGTCAGTGCTTGGATTCAGAAGATTATAGTGTTTGTGAGGTAATGAATTTTAACCTTTTTGTGTGTAATATTGTAATGGAGCATGCCTGTAGTGTAGATACATGCCTTATGAAAACTTTAAAATGTTTTTTTATGTCCCCACAAAGTGGGGTGCATATAGCGTTGCACTTGTCCGTCCATAGGTCTGTATGTATGTCCCGAAATCTTGTGAATGCAACTCCTCTTAAACCGGATGGCAGATTTTGCTTAAACTTCCAGGGATGAACAACCTTAATGTGTAGATGGTAGTCAAGGAAGGAATTTTCGCTGCGACTAAATTTAACAGAATTAGGGCCCTTTGTTGATTTTTTCACTATATACTATGTAGAAATTTTGTGAACACAACTCCTCTTAAACCGGATGGCAGATTTTGCTTAAACTTCCAGGGATGAACAACCTTAATGTGTAGATGGTAGTAAAGGAAGGAATTTTTGCTGCGACCAAATTTAACAGAATTATGGCCCTTTGTTGATTTTTTCACTATATACCATATATATGTTGTCAGTGGGGGCATCTGTGTCTTTTGGACACAGTTCTAGTTTAGATCATAAAAGTATTACCAGGTGTTTCATCATCATGAAACATTGTCTGGTGAACCTGTACATAAAGTGCGGTTGCTACCGTCTGTTTTCCTTATATGCACTAAGTAAAAAAAATTTTTTTTGACATACAGCTATAAAAAATTTGAACCATATTCGTGGTTATAGAACAGAATTGAACTCTGATATCAATTGATATACATCTTGACTTAGTGACCTACTTTTTATTTTTTAGATATAGCTATGATATTTGGACCGTTTGTACAGTTAAAGATAAAGAATAGATTGCTTTAATAGTTGACCTATATTTTGACCTAGTGACCTACTTCCAAATTCAGTAAATTCTGCTGCATTATCACAAAGTTTCATTGTTTGGAAACAAAAAATAAACTACTTCTGTTCTTGCTATTTAATTTTGTATAATAGGGTGACATAGCATTTTTGTTACAAATTAAATCATGTTGTAGTTTGATTAAAAAAACAAAACAAAAAAACCCAAATACAACTATATTAAGTTAATAAGAATATCTAGAAATGGGCAGCTTTATGATAAGGAAAAGGTAAAATGCAGATTTGAAATACAAGATTGCTATTTTCAGTGTAAATGAATTAGGAAAGGTGGTTTTAGATTTAACAATGCTAATTCATGCCTCTTGTAGTGTTAAATAATAATATCCATTTTCCCTCCTGAATTAATGAAGTAATTCTAGAATGATAAAGAAAGTGTACAGGGATACCAGCTTGGGTTTTGATAACCAGGTTTATTTCAGTTTCCTAACAAAGAAGATATTTTACCGACACCGATAATGATACGAATATTTTGCTTATGATACAATATTTTACTTCAGTGAAAGTTTGTGATCATTTGAGAACTAGAGTCTTTTCTTTGTCAAAGATCAGCCAACCGATTCAGTTATTTTACAATTTCTGTAGAAGTAAAAGTTTACTGTGTTAATAATGATGAGATAAAAAAAAATACCATGTTATGCACAGTTGAATACAGGATGTGTGTATACATGTTAATTGAATATAAAAAAAATGAAATATTTACCACAAGATACAGTCAAACTTACCTGAAATGAACAATGGCCAAACAGTAAAAAGGTGAAAAAATTAGTTTCAAAGTTGGTTTTTTTTTTTGCATTATTAAAACATTTGTGATAAATGAACTGGATAGCAAATGGTGGGCTTTAAGTGACAAGTTTTATGCAGAGATTATCTTTAGCAGAGTATTTAACTTTTAAACTGCTATATTTGAGATTAGCCTTTGCCAACAGAGTATCTGAACATCCATGAAATCTGACCAGGTTGACGTATGGCTGACTAATTTTAAATTTTATCGTGATATTCCTGAAGTTAATCATGTGCAGTTCTAAAAACAGAAGCTGTACAATTCCATATAATATAATCTGAAGGTTAAGTGTACGCAGCTATTGTTGTTTGATTAGTGGTACCATATATTACATGTTTCATGACGAGGCACAGCTATTTTGAAAGCTACGTTTGTTACAATAGTTACAATAATCTAATAGAGATAGATAAATGTCACTCTTAAGAAGTAGAACAAAACATATGATCACCTTTTCAATTATTCAGAGTAGTTTATTATTATGTTTTAAAAGTTTTCAAGAACAGTCCTTTACAAATCTCTCTTACTTCAAGAGGAATTTATAATAAATTTTCAAAAATCATGTAGTTTGTTGGCATTGGTAGATCTAAATAAGTTATAGGTCTGTTGCTGTTATATACGAACAAGAAATCAATTCAAAAGGTACATGATATTGTATGTCTCTAACATGCAGAATTGTTTGTTACATAGAGAAATGTTTTGTTACATGGGGAAATGTTTTGTTACATGGAGAAAAATCTCCATTTATATATATAGATATCTCCCTGTGAAACCAATTATTGGGGTATTGTACATTTGAATAAATACGTAATGGGACACAATAAAAGAATACAATAAAAGTGATGAATTATTCTGTCATCAAAGTCTGTAAATCAATACCCATTATCTGGCTGTATTTATTTTACAGTTGGTGAGGATTGTATTCTCAGATCACCATCTCAATTTTTATAGTGTTTTTCTGCATAGTAACTTTGTTGTTTCATATGTTATTTCTGGGGGAATTTAATTCTTATGGGACACGCTTGATTATGTTTACATTCTATGGGATGTAGTTTAATGGATTTGGCACTGCTTGATTCAATTTCAGAGAGACTAGTAGTCCTGGAAAAATCAATGAGTAACACAATGCTGCCATAAATTATAACATCTATCCAAAAGAAGCCAGTTAAGTAGACAGAAGACCGAAGGAAAAACCAATAACAACGAATCTCCTGTTAGCTATTGTTGGGCTGAATCTTTAATATTTTGTCACACACGCACTCTAAGCAATAGTAGAGATTTATAAAAATCATATATTTGCTAGCCAAAATACATGATGAATTGTGTTATAGATGAAATGAATCAAAAGGCCCTTAATATCTGCATGATTAGCATCAAACTATGTCTTTGAGCATAGACTTCATTTTAAAAGGTGTTTTACTTATGCATTTTACAGGGAGCATTTGGAGCTTTACAGAAAATTTGTGAAGACTCTGCAGAGGCCCTGGACAATGACCCTTCACGACCCTTGAATGTCCTCATTCCAAAATTCCTGCAGTTCTTCAAACAGCCTAGTCCTAAAATCAGGTAACATAAATTTTTAAAAAAATATTCCAGTGTGCTAGTGCAAGATAATTTTGATAATTATAAACTAATTAAATTTTATTTGTAAGTTATGATTAACCCATTACCAGATATATACGCCTTTCTACGCCTTTTTCCCCCCCCCCCCCTTTTTGCTTCCTCAAATGGTGAAAAAATGCCTAATTTAGGCCCCAAAACACTTGTTTTTGTTTAAGAAATATTGTTTAAAAAATTTAGCACTTTTTCCGCGTGGCCCCCCATCCAAAAGATACATCAGGGGGTTGCCAGGAGGGGGATGTGCCCCCTTTTGTTTGGGGGGTTTGAAGGGGGGCGGAGTCCCCGTCATCGCCAAGAAAATTTTGGACTTGTGGGAGGCTAAAAATGGCCCAAGGTCGATCATAAGGTAAGGTGTAACCAGAATGCTGAAAAGCCTTTGACTCTATCTCGATCCATTGAGAAGTGGCAGCACTTTGAAATCAATTTTGATGGAAAAAATCAACGCAAAATAGTGATTTTTGGCAATTTTGAGATGTCCCCTCGTTGCCATGGTAACAGGAAATTTCAGACTGAGCATGTTGTTACAAAGGCAATGGTCCAGTCAACATTTGTGCCAAGTTTGATTAGTATTGAAGCAGTTTTTATAGTTTTATAGCAACTTGAACTTGTAACGGGAGACTTTTCAATGAAAACAGCCATTTTTCACAAAATGCTCATGGGGTAATGGGTTAATAATATGTGTTATAAATGAATTTCTGAAATTTCCATGTCTAGCGAGATAAAGATGTTGTTGTTGTGTTTGTTTTTTTGCCAAGTTTGCTTGAAAGGTAATTTGTGAAAAATGAAGATCGAAAAAAATCCTTAAAACAACCAAAACGAAACCCCTTCCACAAATCTGATGTTTTTCTTCTGGCTTTTCTTCTAAATTTTTAGTTTTATGCACATTGAAGTTAAATGATTAAATAGAACTTATTGAATGTTGTTAATTATATAACAATGTTACATTATTGTTTCAGGTCACATGCTATTGCCTGTGTAAACCAATTTATCATCAGTAGAACACAGGCCCTGATGGTACACATAGATGCATTTATAGAGGTTTGTGCTTCAAAAAGTACTTCCTAAATAAAATTCTTTGATATGATTTTGGTGCTATCATTATTTGCCCTAATGTACACTATTTTAGTGATGGTACTTCTGTATATTTTTGAAGTAATTGTTTTAATAAGTGAATGATAATTATAATTACTAGATGACATAAGATTTGTGCAACCACACAGTTTTCTTAGATATTGACGTAAATTTTATTTCCAGTGAAGTTATCCTGGAAATATTATAGCTATAAGTCATCTGTCCAGATCAACAAATATTCTGTAAATTTTCTGTGACAACTAAATGAGGTACAGAAGGCAACTAAGGCTAGTTCTCCTCCAGTTAAGTTGGGTCCCCTCTTAAATATTAGTTGTGATTAATGGACTGAAAAAAAAACAACTCAGAAGAAACAAGTTTAGAAGTGTTAATTGATCATTTAATAATTGTATATAAATTGTAGAACTTGTTCTTCCTGGCGTCTGATGAAGATACAGAAGTGAGGAAGAATGTTTGCCGTGCTCTTGTAATGCTGGTGGAGGTCCGAATGGATCGATTGATGCCGCATATCAACAGTATTATAGAGGTTAGTCTGATTAAAGGCACACTATGCCTTAGAAAAAATAATTTCCTTCTTTAAAAGGATAAACATGAGTTTATAACGTATTATATAATCGTTTTAGAGCATGTGGGATGCTAATCACCTGAAGGTATTAGGGCTGAATGTGAAATTATTTATCATAAAGTCAAAAAATGTAAACAAAGTACTATCCTGAAAAAAGATTGTGCATAGTCATAATGTCTTACATGTAAATTAAACTTATTGCAATATTTGTAGCTCATTCCCAAGACTTGTTTATTAAGATGTGCAGGAAATTAGAAATTTAAGAATTTATTTATTATATTCAATCAAAACTGTTGCCAAATACAACAAACTGTGGTGGTAATTTCCTGTACATTCTTTTCTAGTTGTTACTTGTGTACATGATGGCTTTATGAAATGACCCCATTTCTTTCAGATTTTTAAACCCCCTGAGAATCTAATTATTTGTTTAAACATCAATATTATTAAATGCACATGAAATTCAGAATCTGAATATAAATGATATATTTTTTCTCCACTAGTACATGATGATGAGAACAACAGATGAAGATGATACCGTGGCTCTGGAAGCCTGTGAATTCTGGCTATCTCTGGCAGAACAGCCCATCTGTAAAGAGGTTCTTACATCACATATAGAAAAACTTGTACCTATACTTGTTAAAGGAATGAAATACAGTGAAATTGACATCATACTTCTAAAGGTAAGACTAAGAAGATATCTATTTGAATATAACTCATCATTTTAGATACTTATTTTGATAGTTCATTCTTCAAAGTGAAGTTATATGATTTACTTGAATGATAAAACTTTGGAAGCATTTTGTTTTCTGGGGAAAAAAAGAGTGATTTTTTATTATTTTACTGACTTTTGTTCATGTACAGTATATTGAACTGGCATATAAGTAGAAATATCAGTAGGTTCTTTGAAAAAGGAATATTGATACTTGACTAGTAATGCTTTCAGGAGTAGAAGTTATTTTGTATGATAACTTGCATGTAAAAGTTCATAACTTTATGAACCAGTGTGATTTTGCTTAAATTGTGGTGAAATGTTTGTGTTATATGAAATGATGATTCAGTTTGCACATGAACAAGATGAGTGTTTGCTGTGTATTCGTACTGTCTGATTTATACAAGCTTGTATTCTTTTGTACAATTTTTACCTCAATAACTTTGAAATTTTCTGGGCCATGATTGAATGAAGAATAAGGCGAGACAAAAGCTATGATAATAATCAACAGAATTGTAATTACATTGTGTCTAAAGTTGGAGTTTGATTAAGGGTGTAATGATTTTTTGTCTGATGATACATAAAAAAGTACATAATGAAATGGTTTAAAATTTTAAATTACCATGTCATAAAAAATGTAAATTGCAAAAAGGTGCATGTTCTTCCATTATGACAATTCATTTCTCAATTGAAATTTATGCCAATTTCTCACTGTTTCTCACTTGATTGCTGCCAGTGGTCTGTTTTGATGACATGGATGCCATGGTTGTTGTGAAAATTGATGTAATTTGCCTCTTGGATATGCCATTAGGAAGATATACAGTCCAATAAAAATGGTAACAAATTGGCCTGCAAAACCAACCTGTGGCCCAATAATTTAACACTAAATACTAACTTTGGATACAAAGTGAGGTGTAAAGTTGTCACTTAATATGAATTTTGTCTACACAATATGGCCTTTATTATTGTGTATACTAACTAAGTTAGGTGATATGTTGTAGGGAGACGTTGAGGAAGACGAGATGATTCCAGATAAAGAGTCGGACATTAAACCTCGGTTCCATAGAGCCAAGTCTCATACACACAAACACCAAGACGGAGAAGAGGTAAGCCTTATACTTATTAATATTGTCGGCTCACCTTGGCACATAGTTCTTAAAGTGAGGCTTTAGAATCATCCTTTGTGACACATTGTCTTTCATGTGTAGTCAAATTAACACGGGTAACTCTCCTTTTAAAGGTCAAAGACTTGATCTGATCTTAATTATACTTTTGAAGAATCTTTGTTTAATTAACATTTTGAACATAAACAGATACTGAAAATAGCTGATTTTTTGTTTAAATTTAAATCAAACAAAAACATGAATTGCTGTAGAATTGTATGTTTTTTGTGAGTACTGAGGGAAATTCCCAGCCAGATGGTGGAAGATCTTGAACACTTTCCAGTTACTGAAAGTTTGATAAGGTCATTTAGGAGTTTGTTGTATATATGTATAACTGGAAAGTGTTTTTACCACCTAACCTCTATTGTCACACTTGCGCACAGCAAAGATGAAAAATTATACTGTAGTTTTCACTTTATATACATCGGAATAGCATTTAATTTCAAATTTGATCTTTTGTGGCTTGTATTGTACGCAGTAAGTGGCAGTGTCATTTAACCACATAATGGTAATATTTCAGGGAGGTGGTGGTGATGGTGACTCTGATGACGATGGTATGGATGATGACGACAGCCTCTCAGACTGGAACCTAAGTATGAACACCTAGTAATATACCTACTCTTTATGTAACATTTCGAAACTAATTGTGTGTCAAACACTTCCTTTCTTGAAATTTAGCATTTTCCTGTTTATAGAAATTAATTAAAATATCGGTGATCAATGATGCAGGACTCCTACATGAATTATGGGCAAGCTTGGCTTAATACTGATAAAAAATGACAAGTCAACAGCTATTTAGACAGTTGCCTAGTAAAACTTTGAAGAATTCTGCCCAGTAAAATTTTCTACATACGTAAGCATGCTTAGAAAATAAAGAATGGAGTACATTTTGAATCATTTTACTTGCCTGATATGAGATAAGAAACTCGATGACAGCTTTTGTATTTTGGTTTGTTTTGTCTGTATAACTGTACAGATTTTCAAAACATCTCCTTTCTCATTAAAGAGTCATACAGATATACAATGTAAATGGAAGTAATCAAAACAATTAAATAATTAATGTACTATTGCCATTTACCATGTGATTAAAGTATAATTTTATAACCTTGATTTTAGGAAAGTGTTCTGCAGCAGCTTTAGATGTCCTTGCTAACGTATTTCGAGAGGACATCTTGCCTATACTGCTGCCTATTCTCAAAGAAATCCTCTTCCATTCCAACTGGGAGATCAAAGAATCCGGTATCTTGGTCTTGGGTGCCATCGCTGAAGGCTGCATGAATGGAATGATTCCACATTTACCGGAACTAATACCGTATCTGATTGGCTGCTTGTCTGACAAGAAGGCTCTTGTGCGATCAATTACATGCTGGACATTGAGTAGATACGCACACTGGGTGGTTGGTCAGCCACATGATATGTACCTGAAACCTCTTATGACAGAGGTTAGTTGTGCTGTTTTTGTGTGTGTGACATTTTAGTGATAATAGCATACTTTATACAGTTTAAATAGACATGTGATACCATAGTATATTCTAATGCCTAGCCTTACAACTTATTGAGATATTAGAATATTGGCTTACAGCTTTGAGGTAACATTGTTCAAGAAAAGTTATTTTATTAGCCCATGCCCTGAAAATTTGCAATTTCATTATGTATATATTGGTGCTTTTGCAAATAGCTTCACGACTTTGCACAAATAATAGTTCTTACATAGGTTTGTTATAGGAGTAATATTTAAAGTTTGTGGTAAACAAATTTCACTCTAGTTCATTTATTTGCAGTTACTTAAGAGAGTATTAGACGCCAACAAGCGTGTCCAAGAGGCAGCCTGCTCAGCTTTTGCTACTTTGGAAGAGGAGGCTTGCACTGAGCTTGTACCTTATCTAGGATTCATTTTAGAAACATTAGTCTTTGCATTTAGCAAATACCAGGTAATTTACAGTTTCTTTTTATGCAGATGCACTGCCTTTGATAATTGAAAATTTCTGCTGAAAATGATTTAAAAATTTCTGCTGAAAATGAATGCGCATAGTTGATGGCTCATATGGAAAGTTAGAACTATATTCTGTCCTGAAAGTTGTTACTGTATATGCTTGTATTTTGCTATATGATGATTCCTATTGCACATGAACAAGATGATTGTTTGCTGTGTATTCGTACTGTCTGAATGGGCAAAATTAGTCAGCAATCATATTACATTACATCTTTTAAATGTATTTCTTTTTTTTTCGTACTCAATTTTTTTTTCTGTTACATTTAATGCTATTTTCTCAGTTAATCTCGTCCTTAACTTTTAAGATTTTACATGGATTTGTTTTCGGATTTTATATAACATATTTAATTGTTGTTTTATTTTCAGCATAAGAACCTGCTGATTTTGTATGATGCCATAGGAACCTTGGCAGATTCTGTTGGTCACCATCTAAACAAACCTGTAAGTTCATCTCCTGTAAAATACTGTCATATGTCTTATTACTGTGATATTGGGTCTTATCAATTCTACTTAAACTTGTGTACAGTATTCAATTTAGTCTGTGATATATCATTTATGAAAAGTTACTTGAAAATTAGTAATGAAAATAAATGATACAGTTAAATTTCTTAAAATATGTTAACTTTTTGTGCCCCCACTTTAGGGGTTACCCTTGTTGCTAAATATTTGTATGTTACTTCCTAAACAAGGTAATACTGCAGCATATGTTTATGTTATGTTTATATGAAGTGTATGACACCACATCAAATACATTCAAGACTGCATACAAAGTCACATCAACAGCACAGGTATGGTGTGATAAAAGTATGAAAATGACAACTTTTGTGTGATCATATATGTAATGAGGGTTTTAAATGATATATGTTTTGTTTCGTGTTATAGGAGTATGTGAGTAGACTTATGCCACCACTGATTGACAAATGGAATGTTCTCAAAGATGAAGACAAGGATCTCTTTCCTTTACTAGAGGTAATCTTTATATATCTACTACATCAAACATCATTGGTTTTATGTGAAGAGTCTTCCGTTTAAGTAGAATATGATGTTGAGTTTTAATTTCCCAGACATTATTTAATACCATTTTCCACTAAGTTGGCACTAACAACTTAATGTTGCAATGGAATTAGGCCAGGAATATCCTTTTTGACTTTCATAAATGGTGGGAATGAAATAAGAAAAGACTGTATCAATTATTTCAGACCTTAATAAAATCTGCACATTTTCTGCTCTCTAGCATAAATCACAGATATAAGCCAGCAGTTTCTTTTAAATTTCACTGTGTAGATAACTGCAGGAGATATAAAATACTTGCTTAAAATTAAATTATCAAATGTATAAATGTGCCGAGTTATGTTTCTTTACTGATGTTAAAGTGAATCAATTGTTTTATATTACAGTGTTTGTCTAGTGTAGCGACAGCGTTACAGTCTGGTTTTCTACCATATTGTGAACCAGTCTATAGAAGATGTGTTTCCCTGGTGGAGCAAACTCTTAGTCAAAACTTGGTGAGTTGTTAGATGTACATTGCCAGAGATATTTCAGAACCTTGTGTGACATGTTCCATCTATCAGTCATTCTTGTTTACATACAGTGATTTTTCTCACTTAATTGGGAAGAGGCCTTAGCCACTTGATTTTGGGGAAAATTATCGCTAAAATTGCTAATTTGGGAAGTAAAAAAGCAGGTTTAAGTTCAGATTTTTGGGAAAACTGCATGATTTTAAAGAAAATTTCAATTGGGAAGAGGCCTTTTATCAGAGTCTGTTATATAAGCAGGAAAATCACTGACATAAAATTCAACTTCCAAACTTCACATTATACCTATTTTGCATTATAATGTGACAGCCTATGTAATTATAATTGAGATCTAAGCTGACTAATGCTGTGGGCATCGAGTCTCGTTCTCTGTCAAAAATAGAACATTCTAAGAGAAGGTTGTGATTATAACAGCTTGATGATGAGAAATGAACTCTCTCTTTCTGAGACTGTAGGAGGACACTTTCTTCACTGAATAGCTGTTTTATATAAAACGAAATGTAGATCTGGTACAGTTGACTCTCGGTAACTCGAAATCCAAGGGACTGGGCATTTTACTTCGAGAGAAACGGAATTCGAGTAACGTGGATTTTGACTTATTGAGAGTAAACTGTAAAGTGATGTAAACAAAATCTTTGATGTTTTTAGATATGTTGTGCAGGTAACCTTTGATTTTGCTGAATTTGCAAGAGTGACTTCATTTTATAAATTGTTTATGTATCTGATTTCAAATAAAATACCCCTTGTTTATCTCGTAAGGGATGTATAATTCTCTTGTGAGGAGGTTATCTAGCTTTCTTATGAAAAATTGATGGGTGTATGGCAGTCATTAAAATTATTTTTGCTTTACTGGAAAAGCCGAAAAGTTGCCACATAACCATTTTAAAGTTGGCACTACCTAAAATTATCCAGTTGGCAAAGATATGAAATGCCAATTGTACTTTCAACTTTAAAATTTCTGTTATAGGCCAGTATGCAGAACCCAGAACAGTTTGATCCCCCAGACAAGGACTTTATGATTGTAGCACTTGATCTCTTAAGCGGACTCGCCGAGGGCTTGAATCAACATATAGAGAGTTTAGTGTCGGATAGTAATATCTTAAAACTACTCTACCAGTGCATGCAAGTAAGTGAATACAGATTAAATCATATGTACTAGCTTACTAATTTATATGGGTAATTTAAATGTTGGTATACAAGTATATAAAGTTAGATGTAGCTCAAATTAAAAGAGCGTAATGTTTGTTATCCTCATGTTATTATTATCATCTTCTTCAGTAATTGCCTCGCTCTTCATAGAGCATAATCACAATGAAACTAAAACTGTGTACCAGTATTAAGTGACAACATTGTAGGTTGTTTGTTTGTAAGATAATCATTTTGTATGATGATAAAAACTGCACATGATTATATATGAATGTTAGCAGTGTATTCGTACTGTCTGATGAAATGATTGTTACACATGTTTTAACTCTTGACTTGCTGATGACAACTGAACCTGCCCATACAAACAGTGCAGACCAAGAGCAGTTGTCATGGTCTGCACTGTTAGCTATTTAAATTTTGAAATTTTCCATAAAGATGATGAATGGTTTTGTCCTGATTGTCAGCATGGTATGGGTGATGTACACTTTTCATTTTAGATGTAACGTAAACCAACCACATATCCCTTCTTGTTTACTCTTTTTGAATTTTATGCATATAGCGCGTCATTCAATCTTTGTCAAAATCTTCCTAAATCTTGCGTTAAGAATTTTCAATTTTCTGTGTTAGTTGTATTAATTTTGTTCATTTTCTTACAGGACCCTATGCCAGAAGTAAGACAGAGTTCATTTGCTTTGCTAGGGGATCTAACTAAAGCCTGCTTTCAACATGTTAAACAGTGTATAGGTATAATGTTATATTCTGTTTATCTGTTCAGCTATTATCATTTAGCTTTCATATTCTCAGAATTGACCTTTAAATGGGACATTGAGGGTTGAGCTTTAATGGGGATTTTATTCTTATGTGGAGTTTCATGGGGATTTTTTATATACACATAGATATACATTAAGAGTTTTAGTCTTTTAAACATCAAGAGTTAAGGGGGGGGGGGGGGTAGTTAATATTTGAAAGAATTACATTTAAGAAATTTAGCATGTTAACTTAATTTGGACTTAAATTGCATTTGATATTGTTGAGCTGCTATTTTCTACCATAAAACTGTGTTTATCTGCTTCAATGTACTGTAAAATAATGGTAAATGTTTTCTGATACTTCAGGTGACTTTATGCCTATACTAGGCCATAATTTAAACCCGGAATACATATCTGTGTGCAATAATGCTACTTGGGCTATAGGAGAAATATCTATAAAAATGGGTAAGTACTTATGTAACTTACTTAAGTTAAACATTGGTTTTCCACTGTTAGTTGGCTCTGATTTTGGGAATAAATATCACTAAAATAACTAATTTGGGAAGTGAAAAAGGTGGTGTATGTTCACCAATTTGGGAAAACTGCATGATTTTAAAAGAAAATTTCCCATTGGGTGGGTAGGTCTGTTATATATAGATATATATAGTGAAAAATTACTGGTTAAAGTATAGTTAACTAAATTGTTTTAAACTTCTATGTATGGTGTCTGCTGTTTCGAATATAACCATTTGACTAATTTAAGTCTTCATGTAGTATATAGGATTTCAATGCTTGAAATTGAGTAAATACTCATTAGTAAATTTACTATACTGCAGAATCTGTAATGTGGGGGGAGCGGTGGCCTAGTGGTTAAGGTGTCTGCCTCTCAACCCAGAGATCATGGGTTCGAGCCCTACTCGGGTCACGACCATGTTTCTTCATATGACACCAGTACTGGTTGGTTCCAGGAAGCGGACTCAAAAGTGATTAATATAAGTTACAAGAACTTGCTTTTGCAATCGAGCTTTAATTAATATGTTTAAACCAAACCTGTAATGTTTTAAATACATTTATTGTTTATTCAGGAGCTGATATGAAGGAGTATATACCAGTTGTGATAGGAAATCTTATAGAAATTATTAACAGACCTAATACACCCAAAACACTACTAGAAAATACAGGTAAGTCATGCACATCTGTCCACATTAAAATCTTTAAATCTTCAAATTAGGATAAAGAAATAAGCATTTTGACATCTTATGAACAAAAGATAAATTGAAAAGGGGCTGTTATTGTAGAATTTACATAGATTCACGTTTTAAATGTCATTATGTGTTTAAAAAAGAATAACTTTTGTGTTTAGCACAGGATAAAGTTTTTAAAAAAAGAAACAACAAAAAATGGCACGATTCTTTGGTGGCTGACATTACAAAAATTCTAGTTTTTTGTATGAAACAAAGAGTATATGCAGTTATCACTTGTATGATTTATGTTTGTCATTTAGCATGATGCTCCTGTTGTCTACAATCATTTTTGTTTTATTGCTGTTTTGGTCATGTTGTCACAGGGCTTTTTTTTTTGCGTGAAGAGACGGCTAAACATGGATTTCTTTTCCAATTTTTAAATCTCAGGTTCTCAGAACATTTACCACAAAAAAATTAAATCTCCAATAAAAGAAATATTATCCAATACATACATTTGAATGATGTTGATTTTTAAAATTGTTTGAAACTTCTTTGATTTTTTAAAGAAATTTATTATTTTGTTGGATTTCTATTTTAAGAGATTTCAGTTTATAGTCATCTAATCTTTTCTGCAAAATGCTCAAAATTTTCATTGAAAATCCCAGTTTTATTAGATTGGCAAGTGTATTTTTATGGAAAAAAAAACACAAAAAAACAAATATATAATATTACAGAAAAAAAGCTCTGTGAAACCCTTTGTAGGAGAAAAGGTGTATATGAATTTGTTATACAACTGGTGTTAACACGATAGTGTATGTACAATGTATTACATATGATAGTTCTATGTTGTAACTCAAAATGGTTTTTATACATACAGATAATATGCCGGGAACTTCTATATGAATATGTGAATGTCCTTATTCTACCTTTTGTGTAACATGCATTGTTTTATTTTGTAGGGAAACTTTTATATGTATACACATACTGAATGTAAATTGATTTTTGTGATTGAATGATCGCTTATTTCGTTATGTTTATTCTTTGTTGTTTCTCCCTTTTTATATCTGCCCTATTGAACATGGTCGCTGCTGTCAACGAAAAAAATACGTATGGAAATCTAGCAATTACGATTGGTCGCCTTGGTCTAGTGTGTCCTGCCGAAGTAGCGCCTAATTTACAGCAATTTATTCGTCAGTGGTCTGTACTTATTTTGATATATTTTTCTTTTCAATTTTTCAATTTATTCTGTTTTTCGGTTGATTTAACATAACAGTGGATGCTTCAAGTATTTGTATTTTCTGCTTTGTATCTTTTGTTTATACTTTGTGATATGGTCAAGCTACATTACCCCCTTCTTTTGTTGTTATATGGTCTGGGAACAGTGTTATCTGTAGAAATTTTCTGACCTTTGTTTTTCTAGTTGCAAAGTATTTAAGAAAGTACCCTGTAGTCATTTTATTCCATACACATGAAATTTCGTTTGCCATGCATGTCATAACATTGGATGATTCAGCATTTTGTAACAAAGATAAGAAATATCCTGCATCATACTGTCAGTGTTTAAAAAAATGACTAGAAAAATATAGAAAATACAGCCCAATTCATGGAGTCCTCAATAACTATTTTTCGCTATGGAGGCAAGAAACTTGTTCTCAAGTTAATTTGAGAATGTTGTAGGTGTTGACTCAAAATTAATGGAATATTTATGTAAAAATGAGCCTTTTTGAAGACATGCTGTTTATTTATTCAATAAGATAATAGATTAATTTGAAAAGACTACAGAACTTTATTAATTATCTTTATATAGTTTAAAAAAATACAAAAAAAATATATAAAAAATAAAAAACCCCATCCATGTTTTCTTAAAAGCCCCATTTAACGGTACTTTAAATACAAAACTGTACAGTTGGCTGTTAGAATTATTTGCTGTCTACAATGTCACTCAGAGTATTTTTAGTAGACAAATCCCAAATACAAAGCCAGACTGATTTACTCATCAAAATCAGTTGAGGAAATAATAATGGTTGACCTTATTGATACTAGTGGGGAAAAGATACATTTTTTTAAAGGAATCTACATATTATCTTTTATAGAAAAAAAATATCGGAAGTCAGTATGGAATAATTAATTTGCATTTTAAGCATTGGTTCTGTTTAAATGAAGTAGGAAAGGCAAGGTTCTGTTGTCTTGAAATGAAGTAGAAAAATCAAAGATATATTTTTGTTAGGATTGCAGATTAATAATTATTGAAGCATCCACTTTTATATTATCAAATCTTAATAAGTTGGTCTGTTTTTGCTGGTAATTTTATGTTTGCTAAATTTGTACATATTTTACAACAAAAGTTAGATTTTTGCTAACAAATACACATGGCAGTGAGATAGTTTATTCTGAATGATGCCTTTAAATTGTTTCTATAAAATTTATGTGTAAATTAATAGTATTAAAAATGACAGGTCCGGTTTGATACTGATACTTTAGGAATTTGCATTTCAGTCTGTTAGATAAAAAAATTTTTTATGGCCAGTAATAAATCACTTTGTTTATATTCTTTTTTTCTGGTCCGTTAACTCTTGAATTTCTTAACTTAATCTAACCGGCTTCCATTTTTAGCTCACCTGTCACAAAGTGACAGGGTGAGCTTTTACAAAAGATCGCTTTTCATCCGGCGTCCGTCCGTCCGTAAACTTTTACTTTAAATGACATCTCCTCATAAACCACTAAGCCAATTTCATCCAAACTTCCCAGAAATGTTCCTTTGGTGGTCACCTTTAAAAATTGTTCAAAGAATTTAATTCCATGCACAACTCTGGAGAAAAAACTTTAAATTTCTTCTTTTAAAAAAAACACAAAGAGCTAGAGCTTAGATATTTGGCATGAAACATCTTCTAGTGAGTGTCTACCAATTTTGTTCAAATAAAAGCCCTGGGGTCATTGATTTTCCCTATATGTATATAGTAAAAACATAAAAAATCTTCTTTTAAAAAACCCAAAGAGCTAGAGCTTAGATATTTGGCATGAAACATCTAGTGAGTGTCTACCAAGTTTGTTCAAATAAAAGCCCTGGGGTTAAAATTGGCCCCGCCCCAGGGGGTCATTGATTCTCCCTTTATGCATATAGTAAAAACTTAAAAAATCTTCTTTTAAAGAACCCAAAGAGCTAGAGCTAAGATATTTAGCATGAAACATGTTCTAATGGTTGTCTACCAAGTTGAATTTCCTTATATGTGTAAAGCAAAAACTTAAAAATCTTCTTTGAAAAAACCCAAATAGCTAGAGTTTAGATATTAAGCATGAAACATCTTCTAGTGAGTGTCTACAAAGTTTGTTCTCATAAAAGCCTTGGGGTTAAAATTGGCCCCGCCCGGGGCTCATTGATTTTCCTTATTTGTGTAAAGCAAAAACTTAAAAATCTTTTTGAAAAAACCCAAATAGCTAGAGTTTATATATCAAGCATGAAACATCTTCTAGTGAGTGTCTACAAAGTTTGTTCAAATAAAAGCCCTGGGGTTTAAAATGGCCCAGCTCCAGGGACCTATATACAGGTGAGCGACCTCAGGGCCATCATGGCCCTCTTGTTTGAAAATAGTCCCATTATTAATTTTTTGGATATCAAAGTATAGAGTTACTTGGCCAACAGTATAGATCGTGGTAATACTGGATGCTGTCTCTATACTGGTGGCAAAGGCTAATCACTGAGTTTCAGCAGAGCAAGAGAAAATATTTGTTTTGGTCATTGTATATGTAGATTTAATCAACCACAAGTCCCTGTTCAATGGAAATCTTACATATGATGCTCATTTTGATGATTGTTTTAAGTAGTTAATCGGAAACTGATTTCTTAATGGTTAAATCAAGAGTACATGACCCTTTACCTGCTGGAACCAACAGTGATTAACCTTTGCCACCAGTATAGAACCGGGCCAGCCTGCACATCTGTTCAGATTGACCAGGCTCCATATTTTTGGTAGGCTAACTAGCTCAAATTTTGTATTTTGATACTAAAATTCCTCAAACTTTTAATGGACTGTTCCAAATTCTAATCGGGGCAAATCCAGATCACATAAATTAAGAATATTGAGAATTAAAGGTATGCAATGTGTATTTGTTAATAAAAAACATTATTTATCTTTGCACCTTGTAAAAATAAGATATATACAAATTTAATATAAGTCATTCGTAAAATCCATTTATTTGAAGGAAATGTATACATATATGAAAAATGTAAATATTCAAGCATGTACATTGTACTTTGTAAGCCACATTCTGTACAAGTTTTGTGGTGTCGCACATGTGGTAATTCAAATGTTGTGAAGAAAAATCGTATGTTACAGTAGAAGAAATAATTGTAACAAGGTCAAAACTGCTGACAAGTTCTTTAGCACAACTGTTTCAACCGAAAACTTATAAAGATTTTTGAATCCTGTATTTAGATAAAACCACTTTGAATTTTAAGGCAATTTGCATTTAATATCTACTATTTTAAAGAGTATCTTCTTATTTCTAATTAAAGCTCATTTTATATTTGATGCCATTTAATACTTGTTTAAGTGATTTCACTGAGCTTGCTATTGAAATAACTGCAATTTTGTTAAAAATTGGCCCAGAACTCTATACAATTAAAATTAATATTATTATTTAAAAATCTTGTAAATGATGGGAAGAATTAATTGCAAATTAACAAAAAACATGTTCCCTTTTCTATCTTCCATGTATTTAAAGTATCAAAACAAAGTTGATTAACTGATAGCTCATTATGTTGATGTAGATATTCCAAAATTATATTTTGAAACTGCAGTGATAGGTTACTTCCTTTGAGAGAAGCACTAATCTTATATTCCTGTATGTGTAGTTTCGCATGTATTTACATATTAAAAAAATGAAATTTTATTGACAGGTGTACGTCACTACGTAATATACGGGACAATGAGGAGAAGGACTCGGCTTTCCGTGGAGTGTGTCACATGATCAGCGTAAACCCAGGAGGTGTCGTACAGGACTTTATATTTTTCTGCGATGCTGTTGCCTCTTGGGTACATCCCAAACAAGACCTCAAAGAAATGTTCTACAAGGTATTTTATCCCTTTAAGTGCTATCAGCAAATCTAAGAGACGTGGGACTAGCTTAGAGTCGAGGCCTGCCCTGTATGTCCATGCAGTCGGTCTCGGACCAGACTTTACACTATTGGCCTGTCACATTCTAATATCCACTGAATTATAAATTATTTTATATGAATTACCGGTCTAAAGCCTATTAAACAACAAATACAATTTGTTTTAATACCTCGTTTTTCTTAACCAAATACCTTTGTTTCTGATTATTTGTTATTGACTTGTTTCTTTTATTAAATTGCCCATTTCAAGGAAATAGACGATGTAGAACACTTAAATACTTAGTAAAGTTTAATGTTTTATGTTAAATTTTCAGATCTTGCATGGATTCAAGGATCAGGTTGGAGAAGAGAATTGGAAGAAATTTTCAGATCAATTCCCAGTACCTCTACGAGAGCGGCTTGCTGTCCAATATGGGGTGTGACCCCTTCTTATATAATGGTAGGTTTGTAATACAAGATTTATTTTTGGAGTTTGATAAGTAAAGTTATTAGATGTTCAATACTTGACAGGCTATTTGTAAAAGGTCCTGAATGAGATTGTGGGTTAATTCCCCAGTTGGTAAATATCTATTGGCATGATAAAACACATGTCTTTCTTTCCTGGTACATGACAGAAATAGTTTGACATGCATGATGCACCTTGGTCCAGAAAATCATTGCATCTTTAAAGTTAGTGGTTGAGTTTTGTGGGATAAATGGAATTGAATACAGTAATGATATATATAATGAAATCATAATGATGGCAAAGTGTTTTTCAAATTGATAAGATATGTTGAAAATAATTTTCTTTCTTTTGTACTTTTATCTTTTATGAAATTTTCTGTGTAACACATTTTCTTTTTCTTTGTTTCAGGTCTTGGGGTATTTCTGGGCATCCTCTTAATTGGGCGGGAGGCGGGAGGGTTTCACTCCAGTAAAGCCTACATTGGGTCCTAGAGGGTCGGTCATCGCGTAGGGAGGGCGGGAGGGAGCAGAGGGAAGGGCCTCTGTTGCTACTTAGCTCCAAGGGATAAGGCGGTATTCTCGCGGAACCGTCATTACTTAACTTCGCGCATGGGTGGGACGCGTCACAGGGTGGGAACCATTTTTTTTTACCATCATAAACTGAGAATCATCCGTTGGCTCACTCTTCACTGAGGAGGAATGAATGGTTAAGAAAAGACCTATAATATGAAAGAGAAAGCCTCGTTCACATATGAAAAATAAAGACTTTTTACTCCAGAGATAATATATATACAGTTCTTACAGTTACAAGAGAATCTGACAGCTTTGGATACAATACATTGAACAGCTTTGGATAAAAAGTATTAACTGGAAATAGATAAAAACGGGCTTGAATCGATAAGCTTGCATAATTTTTTTTCAAACGTCATTTCAGAATAATAGTCTCTTTGAATAAGTCATTTTTGTACCATTTTCCTTAGGAGATAATTCGTTGATGTGACTTCGCGCTTGGGAGGTTCACGCGAGGGTTCTTTCTTACTTAATAAGATAAAACATGTTCACGCGATGGGTTAATCCGCGATTTTTTTTTTTAATGGGAAATAATTTTGGGACATTAAGGGTCAGGGTTAAAGTTCACATCAGTTAAGTATCTTCTTTGAAAATGGTTTTTTGTTGTACAATGGATACATTTGTGTAAAATCTTTGAGTTTACTTGAGAGTAATTTGAAAGTTGCCATATGACCTGAACATTGTGACGGTGACTTGAAAACAAAACTCAAAAAAATAAACAAAGTGATGTAGAATTATTTAAAACGGAATATTGTTAAACTTGTCAGCAATCAAATTATGTTGATGCAAGAGTAAATTACTTTAATGTAATAGCATTTGGCTGAACTCGAATGTCAATATTTGTTAAGAATTTTAACTTCATTAATCTCATTTTGCACTCCACCAGTTTTCTGACGATATAGATAATAAATGTATCCATAGTGCTCAACTCATGTATAGGAAAATCTTATGTAGCTCACTTGTACATTTCTACAGTACATGTATGTTTGTATTGCTGTCTATTATACCAATACACATGTATGTACACATATATACCCAGCTTCGAGTTATACTATAATGCCTCAGAAAAAAAAAAATTGTATGTTCTACAATTATCTTGTTCTTTGAAAGGATTGTTTTTTGACAGATGGTATTGATATATTATGTTTCATTGAACTATTTTACACTCGTACCTGTTTTTTTTTCCTGTCAACTTTTCAAAAGAAATCCGTATAAAGCCTTTTTCCAACTTGATGCATTTTGTAAAGGATATGTCAACATTATCATTTGACATGTACAAGGTTATTTGAAGATTTTGTTTGATATGATATGAGAAAATATGAATTTGAAATAATACTAATTCTTACCAGTACCATGTTTACATGTTTTGTAAAGTGGGGTGTTTTTAGTTATCGCACCTTTCAACTTAAGAATCTGTCTATAATATTGTATTGTACTACCATACCATATTATTCCATTCAACATGTACATGTATATACTTCAGTTGTTTGCCTTTGGTTTTATTCTGTGACCATGCAAACAGTAACAAAGATAATAAATATTCAAAGTTAAAAAACAAAAAGCCAATTGTTATTATCAGTAATTCAGTTTTTTCAATACAGTTTCGCTTACTGCTCTCCCTGTATACCATGTGACGTCTATGTTGAGGTTCCATTTCTTATTGTACGCAACGCGAGATGTGGTGCGACCACTTGCCATGTTAACATGGGGTGGTGAGAGGCGCAGTGGTCAGCACGTTTGAGTTTTCCTTGTTCTTTATAGGACAAGCAAGTCTTGTATCTTTGTTGGTGGTTCACATTTTTTTTTTCCGTGCAAATTTTATATGATATTGTATGAATTGATTTAATTGAGATTAAGGACAGAGGTGTAAGTAAATAGGAATTTGTACTTGTTGTGTTGTGTTTTTTTTTTAATTGTTAAAAGTTATTTGCAGTTTTCTTTTGTACTGATGGCACTTTTATATTAAAAAATCTCGACTTAAAAAAAAAGATTTGTATTATTTTTGAAAAAAAAAATTAAAATATTTCAGAATCACAAGTCTAAAAGCAGTATAGATTTTTTCAAGTTTTTAATGTATCTTATGTATATAATTTGACAAAGGGTTGGCTTTATTTATAGATTTTATACTGGTTTGTTCTCTGAGCTCCAACATTTCGATCATAATTTTATCACACAAGAACTGATGACCTTTAATTGCTGTCTTTCTTTAATGGACTTCACCATCTTCCATTTTTGGAACTGTCCATTTTCAACTTTGGGGAAGAAAAATTAATTTTGTCAATGAAAATAGGTTAAGTCTAGATGATGCATCACGGACATTCAATGATACTATAAAAAGGTACATTGTTTTATCACACACCCGTGCCGATTTGCGACTCCGTAAATATGGTATTTTGCACGGCCGTGCATATATTTTGACGTGACGTCATTAGCGTTATACAAACATAGTGTAAAGACGCGCTAAATGTTAGCGTTATACTATAGACGCGTCAATGAAAAATGACTTATTTCACTTTAAACGGTCTTTATTTTGGGTATGTGATAAATAGAATATTAAATTCGTGTAAATTCATTACTGAATTTATTGCACTCGTTGAATAAAATAATATTATGCTCGCCAGAGGCTCGCATAATATAATTTTATTCAACTCGTGCAATAAATTCAGTAATGAATTTACACTCATTCAATATCCTCTATATACTGAATTTTAATAATTTCTCCAATTTATTTTACTTCTTTATCTTCAATTCTTTCTTTTAATTTTCAAAGTTACTTTTGCGATTATTTCGGTATTAATTAAGTGAAAGAAGTTCTGTTGTTTGAAGTAAAAGAGAAATGGGAGTTATTTCATTAAGATTAATTTCATCTTTAACAATAAAAAGTGCATTTAAGTGAAATATGCTGGTGGGGGGGGGGGGGGGTGGGGTTCATTCAGTAAACTGAAAATAAAAGGTTGAAAATCTCTTCAAAATTGTTTGTTATCAAACCTGCTCGAATTAAAAAAAGAATAGTGTTACAGTGATGTGAATTTTATTCATAACTTCAGTTTGTATATTGTAACATGCATACACCATATTGTTGAAGGAGCTCGGAGTAAAACCATGTTGTTGTTTTTCTTTATACTTCCTTTTTGTGTGTCCATGGCATTTTTTTTTTTAATATTATATTGTGACAAATATCGTGTAACTGTTTTGTTAAAATTCAAAAAAATCATATTCCTGTCACCCTCTCAACACCAATCTTATATTTCAAATGGTACTTGACAGTTAGCAAAGTGCTGTAGTGTTCATTTGGTGACAAAATATTGAAGGGACTCCACTGAGGCTTTTCGACATGACTATCCAGATTAATGTTCTATTTGATGTAGTTCTAGTCAAATAACTTGCATGCAAAAATTTAGATCATTTGCTCAAATGTTTTTTTCCAGAATAATTATTCTTATTGTAAAAAAATGAACTGCAATTGTCAAACCAGGCTAATAATAGCGCAGAAATAATATTTTCAAGTAATTTCTTAATTATCTTTTGCATATGTTTCTTAGCTGATCTATGTAAGAAATTCAAATTTAATGTTTTAGGCTTTTGGATCACAGTGGAGTTCCTTTAATGTAACACCTTACATAGGTACATTGATATCTAAAAAAAAATTTCACAATGTCTATGTATGTGAATAAGTATAGATAAACTTGAAATTGGAACTGATTATTGTAAATGGGAGGGGATTCAATATCAAATAAGTTCCAATTAACAAGCTGGCACCAAAAGAGTCCAGTGAGATTTCAAGAATGTGGTAGCTAGTCTGGCTTTAGCATAAGTATGTCACGAGTGGGTTCTACTTGGGTGCCTGTTCGTGTCTGTAATAATGCACTGATGGGCACCTGAGGTCTCCTACCACCAGTAAAGCTGGAAAGTCAGCATATGACCTATACTGAGTATGATGTAATACTTGACAACAACAACAAGTTGCCATTTGCATTTTAAATTAGAGTCTGTTAATATTGAAATAAATCTACACAAAATTATTTTCCCAGTAATATTTGATATTCATATATGTTTTACTTTCAAGAAAAGGGATGGAAGCGATATACATAAGTGGAATAATAAACAGAGGGGTTGGTTTAATTTTGTTTTGACAAGTGTAATCTTCATCCGAATTTAGTTTTTAGTTTAGACTATTTTTTAATGGGGGGGGGGGGGATTTGACTTTAATTAGGGTTTCAGGACTTTACTGGGGGCAAAACATTGGGACCTTATAGGAAATAAAACTGTTAAGTACCAATTGTGTGATATTTCTAGCATAATTTAAATGGGAAAGAACAGTGAAAGATAGGAATACTGTCTATATCAAGAAAAAGATGACTAAAAGAAGACATAGATTGCTATATAGAAAAAAAATGGTAGTAAACTTTTTTTTTAGCAGATAAAGGCCACACAGATAATGTTAAATGTTGTTTGTTGTGATACATAGGGATATTGTTGAAGCTGTGATTAATTCTAGTGTGATTTATTATTGTGAATTTGTGAACTATACCATTTACTACTAGTCCGAAAGAGCTCTTTCTTCATTGAAAGGTCCATTGAAAGATGTTCTAATCAGAGAACTTTGTCTATTTTGAATTTTATCTATTTCCTCTTTGAAATTTAGTGCTATATTACCCAAACTTACTATAAAACAACTTGTTTAAACTGATGTCAGGAGGGACTAATTGTTATTTTAATTCTACCTAAGTGCGCCATCTCCTGCCAGAAATAATGCTCTGAGAGGCATCTGAAGTCTTCCTCCACCAGTAAAGCTGGAATGTTTCCATATCACCTAGTGTGATTGCAAAACGTAACAAAATTATTATTTAAATACAACATACTGATACTTTCAACGTTCATGTAGGCAACATTTTTTTGGGGGGATTAAAAAAATTAATTAAAAATGACTGTTAAGTCATAATTATAAGGATTAAAACTTGTAAGCAAGCTAGGCTAGTAATTTAGCAGTTTTCACTGGAAATCTGGAATTTTTACGACCTCTGTAAATTTTTTATAGGTTTTGTTCCCCCTGTTGGACTCGTGCTTATTTCAACAATTTTAATGTTGCTGGGATTCTGACCCAGTAAATGGTATATGTACACATGTCATATTTCTTGTTTTTGCATTGTTTTTTTTTTTCTACGTACACACCAATGTTGTTATGTTTTTATCAATAGTTTTTCTTTTGTAAGACTTGGAATTTTAATTTGAGGGATGTAGGTAATGAAGGGATTTCTCAGTTCTTATAATTATACAATATTAGATTACAGTTTATTTTCTAGATTTTAAAATGTTCACATTTACAGGTATATTGATTCATAGTAAAACAATAGTAAATATGGACTGTATCTTTTTACAGGTAAAACAAAATAAATGTTCAAAATTTAAGGACATGTAATAGTTATAATTCAGTAAACAAATTGAAAAACTTTGAATCATCATTATTCCTATTTACAAATATATATTAAACTGTTGTTAGTATCACTCAGTTTTATGAATAAGTTTTTTTTATTCAGTGAATTATACAGTTAATAACCATGCTACAATTTTTAAGTACGAAGCTGTTTTCTAAAGTTAACATTTTGAAAGAATTAATAATAATCTGAAAGTGAACATACATTAAAGTGGGCAAGAATTTTGAAATCTAGCAGTGAATTAATGTAATAACATACAAACATAATCAGTATATTGTCGGCTTATTTCTGGTCTAACTAAATAACATAAATAGTGCTCTGACCATAATGGCTTACAATAGAAATTATATACAATTGTTTTAAAAAGAAAAGCAACAGTTTTTTCTTTGTAATAGTAATATGTTTATTTATGTATGAATCTTTATTGCCAGTAGTTATTAGACATTGTCATAAAAATTGTAGGTTTATTTTAAAAGGTTTTAATAGTGGTACGTAAGCAGGATTTTTTTTACATTCTTACAAATAATCTGGAGATAGTTTGTTCTAGTGGTTTGTTCTAGTGGTTATACTTACAGTTTGTTCTAGTGGTTATACTTACCGTGAAAATAAGCATCGATGTATACACCTGACTCTTAGAAATATAGAAAAACCTCTACAATAATCTTGTTTTTTCTTTGATATTTGTTAAAACCAATTAAGGAAGAAAAAATGTTTATTTGGTAGATTTTTCTTTATTTTCTGATACATAAAAAATAACTTTTATTTACAGGTTATAAGGTACAGGATGTGTGTAAAAATCTTTACTGTAATGTATTAGAAGTGTAGCAAATAAGTTTTATCTAGAAGAGAGGCATGAAAAAATAAGCACCTTATTGGCCTTAATTGATTGGCCATAATTGATAATGAAATTCATTTTAATTACAACATTAAAATACCCTTCAGGAATAAAGATTTTTATTATATTTTGGCAAATGAAAAAAAAATGGAAGAACATTTATTCCTCATTTCAATGAATAATGTATACCATAAAGAAATGAAAGATTCAGTGTTGGTAAACTTTAGACACATCCTGTATTGTATTTGTTTAGAATAGGTAAAACATATCAGTTATCTTCTAGTTAAGTTAAATAATCAGACATTGTTTCCCACATTTCACATACAGCTGTACATATATATAGTTTTAACCTGCAGGCATGAAATAATAAAAAGAAACATTGTGTTACTTTAAATGGTCTTGTTGTTATTTAGTCATACCAGAATAGTTCTATAATCATTCTCATGCTAGTAAACACAGGGAATCTGTCCAGGTAGCATCTTCCATCAAATCTCTTTTCAACAGATGTCACATGAAGATATCTACATTTCTCTGGAACTTAAAATACTTCTTGAAGTCCCAGATTTTCTTCAGAAATGAATAGTTATCATTTGTGTTACAATTCATCAATAAATAATGACTAAATGGTCCCTGTACACATCTGTTTTATCTTAACTTTGACCTCTATGTGAATAGACTTTGGAAGCAAGACCCTGGATTATGCATGCAAAACTTAGCCTCACAATGGTGAACATTTGTGCTAAATTACATTAAAATCCCCCAAAGAATGTATAAGTTTTGCTCCAAACAAACATTTTTCAATGACCTCGAAGTGTGATTTTAACCTAGAGACCTGGTTCCTGCATGTGACACTGCTTCTCATAGTGTTGAACATTTCTATGAAGTTTCATTAGAATCACACCATGTGTGTAGGAGATATGCTCTGAAAAAATCTCTATATTTTATCATCTTTAGTGACTTTGACCAAGAGACCTGGTTCATGCATGTGACACTGCTTCTCATTATACATAGTGGTGAATATTTCTATGAAGTTTAATTAAAATTCCTTTATGCGTGTAGGAGATATGCTTCGGACAAAATTGGATGCTGCCAGGGGGGAAACTATAATACGACCAGTTTTTCAAACGGACGTATAAAAAGTATCTTTAAAAGAAAACAAGATAAAAACTGATAAAATTTAAAGTTTATTCATTTAAAATGATAAAATAGCACCTAAAAAGGTATCATTATTTGATGTAACATAGCTGACAACAAAAATTACAACACAAAAATATCTATTCTACAGCATTTTGAGAATGATTTGTGAATGACAATAAATGATTAATGCAGGTTAACAAAAATTTAATATTCTTAAGTAATATTTTACAATGAAAAACATTAAAAAAACATGATGGCCCTGAGATCGCTCACCTGTATATAGGCCCCAGGGCGGGGCCAATTTTGACCCAGGGGCTTTTATTTGAACAAACTTGGTAAACACCTATTAGAATGTGTTACATAATAAATATCTAAGATCTAGCTCATGGGGTTTTTACAAGAATTTTTTTAAGTTTTTACTATACAAATATAGGGCAAAATAATGACCTCCCACCCGGCAGGGGCCAATTTGACCCAAGGGCTTTTATTTGAACAAACTTGGTAGACACTCACTAGAAGATATTTCATGCTTAGTATCTTAACTCTAGCTCTTTGGGGTTTTTTTTAAAGAAATTTTTTTAAGTTTTTACTATACACATATAAGGAAAATCAATGACCCAGGGGCTGGGCCAATTTTTACCCGGGGGCCCTTATTTGAACAAACTTGGTAGACACTCATTAGAAGATGTTTCATGCTATTTATCTTAGCTCTAGCTCTTAGGGTTTTTTAAATGAAGATTTTTGAAGTGTTTACAATATTCATCAAGGGAAAAACAATGACCCCTGGGGGCAAATTTTGATCCCAGGGCTTTTATTTGAACAAACTTGGTAGACACTCACTAGAAGATGTTTCATGCTTAATATCTAAGCTCTAGCTAGTTGGGTTTTTTAAAAGATTTTTTAAGTTTTTACTATATACAAATAAGGAAAATCTATGACCCCCAGGGCGGGGCCAATTTTGACCCCAGGGCTTTTATTTGAACAAACTTGGTAGAAACTGACTAGATGATGTTTCATGTCAAATATTTAAGCTCTAGCTCTTAGGGTTTTTTTAAAATAAGATATTTAAAGTTTTTTTTCTGTTGGTTGCCATGGCAACCAGAGTTCTATCTGGAATTAAATTCTTTGAATAATTTTTAAAGTTGACTACCAAAGGAACATTCCTGTGAAGTTTGGATGAAATTGGCTTTGCGGTTTGAGATGTCGTTTAAAGTAAAAGTTTACAGACGGCCGGACGAAAAGCGATCACAAAAGCTCACCATGTCACTTTGTGACAGATTAGCTAAAAATTCAGAAAAAAAAAACCCAAAAACAATAAATTATACATTATAAAAACAACACCAACCTTTCTTTTGGTTGGTCAAATATCAAGACAGTTCAATAATGATTGTCTTCCGGAAGTGAAAAATGCTTGTGTAAATAAAAAAATTTCAGAAAAAAAAATTGCTTCATCTTTTAGGGAATAAAAATTATTTGAGACTTTTATTATATAATTTAAGTTCTAAATGGTAAAAGCTTTTATTTTTCCCAAGAAAAGTTTTAATCATTAATACCTGATAGTTTGTTACAGAATCAAAAACAATTTATAAGTATATAAGTCATGTGACAATGAGCAATTAACATGTACGTTGTATGGTATAAAATGAAAAAAAATTTCCTCCCATTTAATAAATTACAAAATGTAGAAACTAAAAATTATGCAAATATACAAGATCCAAATATTTACATATTCAATTATTTACACATGGACATATCTTGGAATATAGAATGACACAATTATGTCCAAAACATATCCAATGTGTGAATTCAATAATTAAAAAAACAAAAGTTACCCAAAAAATACAAAAATATACAAAAGCATCATAAAATTATTAGATTCTAATTCTTGAAAGACAAAATTGTCAATTCTGAAAGTGCATGGTATTAATGTAAAAATGTATCTTAAAATAATGCAGTTATATTATGCTCAAATTTTTCATTTTAAAATACTGATAATTGTTACTCTGTCTCTTTTTAACCTTTTACTTCATATAGACGTGTTTTGACGACTTTTCTACCCCCCCCCCACACTTTTTAAGGCCTCAAACAGTATAAAAATGCCCCCTTTTGTTTCGGGGTTTGAAGGGGGGCAGCAGCCCCCCTCATCGCCAAGAAAATTTTGGACATGTGACAGGCTAAAATGGCCTCAGGTCGATCATAAGGTAACGTGTAACCAAGGCTGAAAAACCTTTTACTCTTTCTCAATCCATTGAGAAGTTGCAGCACTTTTTTTGATGGAAAAAAAAACAATGCAAAAAAGTGATTTTTGGCAATTTTGAGACGTCCCCCCATTGCCAATGTTACAGGAAATTTAAGATTGAGCATGCTGTTACAGAGGCTATGTTCCAGTCAACAGTATTGAAGTATTTGTCATAGTTTCATAGCAGTTTGAACTTGTAACAGGAGGCTTTTCAATGAAAACAATAAGATATAAAATAAACATTTTTGAGTACACGCAAGGAGATTTGTTACATTTCAAACAGTACACGCTGTAGGTCAACATAGAATGAATATATCATGTTATTAAAAAAAGACCAAATAAACTTGACCAGAAATAGGGCAATGTAGCTTCCAGACATATTTTATGCATTCGCGTAGTCAAATAAGCCAAATACAATAAGAATTTCCTATATTTCAATAAATTTCTGCAATAAAATTAAATGACCAAGATGAGCATTATTATCATAGAATATCTTTAAACAATTAATGCCACATTACTTCAGTTCATCAAACTTATAGCTTCTTGTACATACCTCCAGGTGAGTAAACCAAATTTTCAAACTAACGCAAAATGAAAAAAAGAGTTTAAGAAATGCATGGATAATAAATTCCCAGTCTATGGGACATTTAAGATACTTTAGATAAGAAATAAGGGATATTGAATGAGTGAAAGTTCAATACTGAATTTATTGAACAAATAAAGTTAATAGATATGCGAGCCACTGTTGAGGATATAATTTTTTTCAATGAGTTCAATAAATTCAGTAATGAATGACACAGATATAATATTCTATTTATCACATACCCAAAATGAAGACTGTTTAAAGTGAAAAAGAATCATTGTTAATTGAAGCTATTCTAAGTAATTCTGCTGATAATTTTTTTGGTATTAAAAATTCTGGATTTTCCCCAAAAATTATTGCACAAAAGACTGTCTGAAAACATAGGAAATACTAGAGATTATTAATTCTACATAAATATTCAACATAAACATTTTTATTACCTATAATTGATGACAAATTTTAAAAAGAAAAATATGAAAAATAGATTAAGTTAATGCTACAATGGCACATAAATACATGGCAAACAAATTTTGCAGTAGACAAAAATGTCACACAAAGTTTTTTAACAATTGCAAAAGAAGAAAAAACCAAAATAAAAATTCAAAATAAATATTGAGTATGACTCAGTCACAAGAATTTGATTAGACAACAAAAATAAAATAAACTAGAGCTGTTAGTTTGTCATTGCCCTCAACTATTCTCAGTGCTTGGTAGTAAAACAAGAGCTGGGATATTTCATGCAAAAAACTACAACAAAAAACATTTGAGTCTTGTAAAAGAATTTTTCATGTTCAAAAACTGTCAAAGTCCATCCATGACAGTCTGCATGTCAGAGTTATGGACCTTGTAAAGTGAACTCCAATTATGGTTTAAGTTTCATGAGAATACATGTACCTTTATTAATTTGAAAGATTGATGTTGCATGCTTTCAAGCCAAGAGTTATGAGCCTTGGCTAGTAAACTCTGGGTATAGTCACAAAGACCAGTATTAATTAAGTTCCAAACAAATACCTTCAGTAATTTTGAAGATTGATGTTTTATGCAAGAATTTTTTTGAGTTAACAAAGGGCCATAATTCATTCTAAATCCATGCTAGAGTTATGGGCCTTGGATAGTGACCTGCCAATTGAATAATGATTCCACACACTAGAATTAAGAAGTTTAAAATGAATACCTTTAGCACTTTTAATACTGATGTTGCCAAGCAACACTTACACAAAGAATTTTCTACATTAAAAAAGGAACATAATTCAGTTAAATTCCAAGTAAGAATTAAAGGTCTTGGATAGTGACCTCCAATTATGATTATGACATGTATTAAGTTTCAAGTCCTTCTGTAGATTCAAATGAATACCTTTAGCAGTTTTGAAAACTGATGCTGCATGAAAAACATGACTTGCTTATGTCAAAATCCATGTTAGAGTTATTGGCCCTAAACAGTGACCTAATATGCTCTCATACATGTATATGTATAATTATAATGTTTGTAAATTGATATGAATTGTAAAAAAAGATAAATTATTACAAAAATTGGGTTGTAACAGTTACAGCAGATTTTTGTTTTAACAAGCAAATTATTTTTCACACAGAAAATTCATGTACATGTATTATAATTATATTTAAAACAAGAATTGTTTGTACTTTCACCAGAAACACATAACAAGAATATGGCAATATTATAAACAATAAGACACAAGATCATGTATCAAACAAATTGTAAAAATGTCGCAAAATGCTAAATTCAATTGACAGCACCATTGTATTGCAAATTTATGACACATATACACATGTATAACAAATATTTCAGCATTGAAACTAATTTGCAAAAAATACATATATTTAAATCATTTTAACTTAAGATACTCCACAACCTAAAATCTTGGGTACCCTGTAACTTTATTGAGCTTTCCTTTTTATATAAAATCAATTTATAACCCTTGAAAATATCTTTTTTTAACACACTATGTCATTTCTCACATAACAATCATTAAATTTTAATACAAACAAAATATAGACATTTTACCTGCATATTTCAGTAAAATTAAAATTGCATACAAATAAAAGCATTCACAATTTTTGAGTACTGAACAGACAAATTGCACTGTATCTTTAGTACACAAGGCATTTCCTTCTTTTCACAGCAGGATTTACATTTTGACCGTCATTTACAGGGGATAAATACATTTTGGTGGGCGTCTCGGCTTCTGCTTTTCGTTTTCCGTTGCCTAGCATATTAGCACTGAACACCAGTCTACAGTCACCCGCCTTACGGACATTCCAGTACTGCATTAGATCATGTTTAGTCTGTTTACTGGCAGAGTGTGCCGTGGCTGCTCTACTGATTTTCAGTTTTGTGTCACCAGTCTGAGTGGTGTTGTACATGTTTACAGACGGAGTGTTACTATACATATTTACAGGGTTATAATTACTGTACACATTGCCAGTATAGCTGTTTCCGAACACGTTTACTGGCTGAGAATTGCTATACGCATTTACAGACATACCGGAATAGGTTTGATAAACTGCACCAGAGTAACCTGGATTGAAAGTACACGGGCTTTGTGAAACTGTTACAGGTTGAGAGGCATGGCTTGATATATAAACATTTGGAAACTGATTTTGTTGTGTATAAGATGATGGTATGAATTGACCATTTTCAACTGGTCTTGAATTATCTGAGCTAACGCACTGATTATTTACTTGAGACACTGGCTGTTCAGTAATGTTCTGAGAAACTGCTCTTCCTTTCTTCCTTTGAGCTGCTGGTTTCTTTTCTTTTGGTTTCTTTTTAACATTACAATTGCTTTTCAACTTCTGGGTATCTGCTATCTTGAAGTTAAAATTATTGTCACACCCTCCATTACTGTCTGCTATATGAGACATTTCTATAGTCTGCAAGCTTCCATTTGACCTTGATTGATCATGTGACATGTTACCAGGGGATGCTGGGAAGTTCAAATGTTTAACTGGTTCCTGTTGTGCAGAATGATTTTGCTGTTGAGCACTGGTACTAGTATTCCAATTGTGCACGAAGAAATTTGAATTTGAGGACAAGAAATGAAGGTTATTTTCTTTGTTGGCATGAACATTTCCCTGATTTTGATAATGCCCTGTGAATGGCAGAATACCAAACTGATGTTGAATATTTTGTTGTGTTAGAAAGTTTGCTGCATATCCCCCGTTAAAGCTAACATTGTTTGACTCAGACACATAACCCTGTGGACAAACACTTTGTTGCTGATTCGGCACATTTTGTTGAAACTTTCGCTCATTAAATTTACCTACATGATCTCCTGGAGATAGAAGTAGGTCCATCATTCTAAATTCACCATTGCCTTGATGATACAGATTATCATGCTGTAAATTTGTACCATGAAGCTGCCCATTCATCACAAACTGATTCTGTTGACAGTTACCATTACCTTGTTCCTGTTGAAAACCTGGGCTAGATAAATGTTCCCGACCTGAATGCTGAGAATATGGACTAGTCTGTAGATACTGAGTGTATGTCTGGTCAGTATAACTATTCCTACAAGGACTGTTTTCTGTAAATGATGAGACAGGGCTATACATGTTTGCTGTTAATACCTGATTTAACAAGTTATGAGACTGTGCTTGCTTCTTTGATTTTGTTGTCTTTGCAGCTCTCGGCTTTTTTGTTTGACTTTGCTTTTTTGTACTGCTTTTACCTTTAAGATTTGTCTTTTTCTGACTAGCTTGTATGTCATCACCAACTTTTGACTTCGTATCTGATGAATAATTAAATTCTGATGAATTGTCATAGCTTACGGAACCATTCTTTTGTTGGTGACCTTGGCTTGCCATTTGTTGGTGACCTTGACTTGCCATCTGTTGATGACCTCGACTTGCCTGCATGCTATTGTTAAATGTTGGATTCAGTTGGTCATTATTTGGCTGACAATCTGATGTCTTATTATGCGCACTTGATCCGATTTTGTTTACACTATCTGCAAAAGAACAATCTGAGTTCTTTCTACTAATACCATAGGCAACAGTACTACTTTCAGTTTCTGTGAACACATCACTGTCGACAGCATTAAAGAAATGTGATGACAAAGATGAAAGACCAGTTATCTTTATTCCTCTAGCTGTCACAATTGAAGTGAGACCAGTTTTAGCACTTACATTTGAATCCTGAGACATTTCATCTAACATTAATACTTCAGTTTTATCTTTGACGTCCGAATGTGAATTTTCAACATCTGCATGAAGATTGTCCTCCACACCAGCCCTATATCTAAAATTGTCTAATGTACAGTCAGAGATACTTGTTCCAGAGTCTGACCAAACATAACTTCCTTCATCAATGTCTGCCTTGTCACTGCCATACCTTTTTTCACTACAAGATTTCAGATCATTTTCATTGGTGTCCAGCTCTTTTTCATCAACACTACATGAAAATCCTGCTTCCAAAATATTAGCTTCAAATCCGTGTCTAGAATTGTCATCAGCATTTTGTGCTACAACAAAGTCTTGTCTTTGTATCCAATCAGCAACTTTTGAACTTTCACCTGTCTCCTTGATATCATTTAAACTACAGTCATTCAAGCTTGCAGCATCACCACTGTTAGCCTTATCAATGTCTTTTCTGTTTTCTAGCTGGGATGTTTCCAAAACGTTACAGCTGGTATTAACTAAGGTAGCATTTAGATTTCCAGGTGATTGAACAGACCTAATACTCCCAGTATCATCATTTGGTAACAACCAATTCCTGATTGTCGATCCTGAATTTGTCTGACACTCATAAATTTTTGACTTCAAATTATTCATCAAGTTCTTATCTGGAGTCACATTAGCTCCATCTTTTATGATATTATTTCTTAAATTAAACATTGGAATATCATAGCTAGATTGTAAATTTTGATCAGGAACATGCTTTGTTTCAAGTTGTGGCTTGTCTTGGAGTGATTCTTCAGTGATGTTACTATATTCTGGAAGAGGAATACTGGCCACAGCTGGAGGTTTTTGGACTTTGTTCTCACTTAGAAATGTTTCAGAGAATCTACTACCATCTTCAGAATCATAAGTTTGTAAAACAGGCATCAGGTCAAGCTCCACTTCCATCTTATCTGAATCAACTTCGACTTGAAGAACAGGCATTTCATTATCATCACAACTTATGTCATCTATAAGGTGCTCTAATACATTGCCATTATCTGCACACTGTGCCATGATACTAATACCACTACCAGGGACATTGTCCTTACTATCTGTCACTTCACTTAATTTATCCAAAGCCCATGAAGAATTCCCACTACATTCTACATTTGAACTGTAATCATCAAATAATCTCTTTCCACTCCCTTCATCTTCCTTATCACAACTCTTCTTGGAATGCTGGCTGTTTAAGAATGACAAAACATTATTCACACCATTGTCACCAAACGATGAAGATGAGAAGTACATCATAGGTATATTTTGGAGCCTTGTTGGATTCAATTCAGAGGCTTGCTTTGACTTTTCATCAGCTATATCATAAGGCATGGCTTCCCTATTTGAGTTACAACTACCGAGAGCAACATTTCTATGACTGGAACCAGATAAACTGTGAAGAGAACTGACATTTGCCGATATCTCAGAATTACCGAGAGCAACATTTCTATGACTGGAACCAGATAAACTGTGAAGAGAACTGACATTTGCCGATATCTCAGAATTACCAAGAGCAACATTTCTATGACTGGAACCAGATAAACTGTGAAGAGAACTGACATTTGCCGATATCTCAGAATTACCGAGAGCAACATTTCTATGACTGGAACCAGATAAACTGTGAAGAGAACTGACATTTGCCGATATCTCAGAATTTAAATGTTTTGTTATTATACATGAAGTTTTTGACATTGGATCCTGAATTCTTACATCATCATCATCACCAGATGAGAAATAGTCCTCATTATCTGTAACACTTTGAATTACGTCATTAATAGAGAATTTTCTTCCTATTCTTTGTGATGAACGCCTACTAAAGCTGTTTTCACTTTTTAATTCACTATTGTTACTTTTAAACTCATTCAAAGATTTCTTTTTAAATATATCTATTGGCTGCAAGGGGATACTTTTCCCAACTGTTTCCAAAGGTTGGGAATGTGGAATATCTAAAGGATCCTGGGTTATGTTTCTTTTTGATATTGGCTCAGTTTTTGATGCATGCCTACACTTTATTTTATTTTCAGAATCTTGACTTTTATCACCATTACCTAGTAAACTCTCTTGGCCTACATAGCCTTGTTTGTCATTAAAATCTAGATTAAGTTCACTGTCTGCCACATGTTCATGGTGAGAATCAAATTCAGGAAATGTGCTGAAGTCTGTGATTTTTGAGGACATTTCTTGGCTATCTTTACATCCTTTCAGCCCGTATTTCCCTACAAAGTTTTGTAGATTTGGTAAATGAGAAGACGTATGATTTAAGGTCTTGAAATTCTCAGCAATTGAGACAAATTCCTTATGTTTTTCACTATTCAAATGTTCTCTTAGACTACATTTGTACCAATGGTCACATGATTCACAGTAGCCTCCCCTGAGTACTCCTGCAGCTGATTTCTTTTTTGACTGGTTATTACTTTCTTTTGCTTTAGTCAATACTACACCAGCATCAAATGGAGATCCAGTCTCATTGTAAAATATCTTTGGAAATGTTTCAAACTGTTTAAAAAGAGGTCTATACAAACCATCTTCATCTTCTACTTTAATTACAGGACCGTTTTCTTTTTCAGAATCCCAAGTTATTGGGGACATGCCACTCATGGAGGTATCCATTCTACTAGTTTCTGCTTTGAGTTTCTGCAGATGTTTTGCGCTGTCCCGCAGGAATGCAGCTGGTGTTTCAATCCGCAAACCAAGTTTGGCAGCACTCTGTAATAATCCATTGCTGTTATTGTTGGCATCACAATTCTGATTCGCCGATGCTTTTAGCAATAAAGCTTGTCCTGAAATTTAAAATACAAAATTGAAACAAAATATCATATATTACAATTGTAGCTATTTTCATCCCCGTTCTTTTTCCATCACAACAAATATATAACATATAAAATATCTAATCTATCAATAGATAATTCGCAAGACAATTATGCTACACTTATGAACATTGTCACGTAAGAAAATGATATGACTGACGTGCAGAGCTGGCAAAATCAATTGTCCATATTGCACAGGTTGTCCCAAAGCCTATACTTATCGTCGCCCTAATTCCAGAGTGTCGTAACTCCAATTTTGAAAAAAATGAGTGTTTGGTATCAAAATGTTCGTAATTTTTTTCTCTATCTAATGGTAAGAACAACATCACTCTGGTTCTTGCCTGTAACAATATATTGAATGGGTCAGAGTGCTGTAAGTCCAAAAATTGTGATAAAAATACAGTCCATAATATCGTAACTTCTGAACCAATAGTTTGTTAATGTTCTAGTCACGTGATGCTGTTTTGACAAAATGGCAGATTTTTCAAGGTATCAGGAATTACATTTTACGTTTTTTATTTCTTGATAACATGTAAGTGTTTTGCTTTAGATGTTATCTAATTATCTATAGATTAATATTTTATTGAACTGTTTCAAACCTTAAAAAGAAATAATAACTACTCTTAACCCTTAAGCTAAATTCAAAGCACCATGCTGTGTTATGAAATTCGGATAGCATGGAAATCGGATAAATTGATACAAACTTTCAATATTCACAAGTATCAGCTGTTGATAACTTGATATGTGATTGATTATATGATTGATTGATCAATGTTACCATTAAATACGGACAATCAGGTTTTGCATAAGATTGTTTATACTTTTAACTTACAAAAAAACTCACCAAATAGAAACATACTACTGCCATTGTTACATTTTGTACAATGTTTTTCTTTAACTATATAAGACAAATTACCGTACTGGTGCTAAGTGATTCTAATAAAATTTACACATATAACTTTACCACTCATAACTGATGTTAAATTAGGTTAATCATGTTTATTTCATAATTCATAATTTCATAATTTTCATAATTTCAAAATGCTGCACTTTCATATAACGATCACAAAAATATCAAAAGTTTTGCTGTGCAAGGCATTATGCAATCCAGAGTGGTTAACAATACCAACTGTCATATAGAAAGAAAGACAAAACACTTTTAAAATGGCATAAGTGTTCAGTCCTACATCACTCGTTTGTGTTCTTAAAACAGTACGTCCAAACGTCAAAGCCTATATGGTGGGTTAAAGTTGATAATATCCCTATAACAAAAGTTTAAAAGCTGAGACCGAGTTGCCTCAGATGCACCATTTAGCGTTGAATAAGAGACGTCATTTGCACAACAAATACTTATTAAACAGAATGCCACCCTGTTGACCTACTCAGCTATTTTGCATAAATCAACAGGGTGTCAGTCTATACCTTTTAGTCAACATAATCTTATGCTAAAATTTCTTATGTAATTGGAACATGCAAAGCAAAATTAATCTAAGTTTCTAAGTTAAAAATAATTCTTGTACATCTACTTCCAACTCGTAATGTAATACTACCTGTAATTAATTATCAAGTGATTTGAACCTTTGAACTGAAAATTATCCATTACCAAAACTATTTTTAAAAAGAAAAAAAATATGCTTAGTTAAAAATTGTCATTCGATTGAAACGTAGAAAAAATGATTTTGTGAAAAAATGTTACAAAGTCTTAAGATATAAAACATTAAGGAATCTTTAAATTGTCATATTTGTTTCATCAAACGTTTGTTGAAGTAAAATAGAATTAATATTTGACTGAAACTCTTAGATATTGAGCATTGCTTTTATACGAATGAGTTATTGATGTAAACAGTTCAGTTAAAAACATTAAAAGCAAACGTATACTTAATTGTTATTGTATGTAAAGAAGTTGTATGCCACTTGATATATAAATACATGTAGTAATTGAAGTACAGTAGTTCATTGAAACACCATATCCAGATCTGTAGCATCTTTGAAAATTTGTGAGCTTTAAGTTGTGTTTCATATTTTTCTCTTTTTTTTAAACAAAACATTAAGTAATGCTGTTCTTAGAAAAGTAAAATACATAGGTTTATTCTTTTTCATGTTACAGAGAAAGGAACTCATTGTTAATGTTGTTTTTCAAAGTTGAAGCAGTTACATCTTTCAAACATTTTTGTGTATTTTGTAAGTCAAATTGTGTTCAACATGCTGTTTGTATGCAAGTAACAGGTATTCAAAATTGAATTTGGAATGAATTAATGATATAATAAACGAAACCAAAAGTAAATCTGAATTCCAAATATTTTATAGTGCAGTGTTAATGTGAAAATAGCATATCATATGATAAAAGTTTTGCTATTTAATGTGGTAAATATCAATACAATGACGATGTTTCTAAATTTTGATTTCGTTTTGTTTAACTCAATGTGATACATTTACAAAATCAGTAATATTTTTTTTGTTCATTTGCAAGGCTCACTATTTCATGTAAATGGTCATAAGATAATGAAGCCCGAGTTCAATTTCAACCTTAAAATGCCTGTTCGTGGCTATTCACACTTCACCGCATTGTCTGGATTTCTATTATTAACTTTTAAGACTAAATTTACTGTTTTGATCCTGATCACATTACATGCTCTGTGGTGCCTAAATAAATGTGGATCAAGACTAGTCGTTAAAGCATTCAATTTCTAGTTACGTCTAAATTTAATATAATTTCAGTATAAAACAGTAAAATAGTCATTATTTCACACTGTTTTAACTCCTAAATGTAATGATATTTTAGGGTCACATTTCTGTAACTTATTACAGCATTCTGGTTCTTGTATTTTTGTCAATAAAATATATTTTTCAGTGATTTTTCATTTCTTTTATTTTGATTTTTTTTAAAAACTATCTACAGGAACTTCTTCGTAATTTCAAGTGTAAAAGTTAAAATAATTCTGCACACTATGATGTATTTTATATTAAAATTGGTTGAGTAAGTGTGAAGATATAGCCTGTTAAAACTTTGAAGTAGATTTTCTCAAAATGGTAAAAATACGACTTACATCATTATGGAATTAGGGCGACGTTATCTAGAATTCATTTTATAAATATACTGATGAGTAAAGATAAAATGGACATTGTCAAAATCAGATTTTCACCAGCCTTGAATGTGAGTGAAAATATTTAAAGTTGGTAGAAAATCACTCAAGTAATAAAGAAAATTTATAGTAAATGATAACAAATCTAATCAAAATTGCAATTTCAAAAGGGTGATTATTCTTACCGGTATCTTACAATTATTTCAAACATTTATGATAATACTAGAACAGTCAATGAATTTAAGATTTTGAATTTAATGGCCAGAATTCCAGTTTTGAATTTATTCTACCATATATTTAACTAAATTTTCTTAAAATTTACACTTGCCCGAACTAACTTACACTGGCCATAGGCCACCGGGCCAGTGCTAAATTTGCCGACTGCTATATTAAATATTTTCAATATACAATGTATTTATGCTAAGCAATCAATAAAGATGATAAATACAGATCATGCATAATTCATTAATTGCATAACATATTACCCAAATCTACTGGATGTACATTTACTGATGATGCATTACACACCAATATCTGAAGCACTGAAACTGGCTTTGTACAAAAACACAGTCATTTTGAATTCAAACCCCTGTCAGGCTTACAATCTTTGGAATTTTGCAGGTCTGATTAGATTTTACACACCCAGAGTCTATTCTAAGAGGGGCGATGGGGGGATACACCATTCACCTATTTTTTGAGAGGAAGGGGGAAAATTTTACATAAAGAAAGAAGGAAAAAGATCAACAAATGTAATAAATTCTTTTATTTGAAATTTTTTTGATAAAAATTCCCCCTGTTTTTCGAATCCTAGAATAGACACTGCACACCTCAGACATCAGATGAGTGCCATATTTTGCAAACTGTATCATATTTTCTATTTTTAATACATATACATTCATGTACATAAAATGTTTTACACACATCATCAAGTATAATTTTTGCAATGAGCCAATCTTGGAGAGGAAATATTTTTTGAGTATTATTGAAATTAATGTAAACTTTGCGATTTGAAATTTTATATAAAACATCTCAAATAAACAAGAGCTGTCTGTAAGACAGTGTGCTCAACTTTTTTAAGTACATGTACTTGAATTTTGCATTACTCCCTTACTCTTTAAAAAGTTTATTAACTAAACAATCTATATCCTTATACATGTACGTTTTTAAAAGAGGGCAGAGTTGACTAGTGCTGAGTTGGTATAGGGCCAAGTTGACCCTTTACTGTTTTACATGATGTTGGCTTGTCATGAATTGCCCTTCAAAAATAGGGTGGTCAGTACACTTTGCACATGTGCAAAATGTTGTGTTATGGGCAAGGTTAGACGATTTGCAGACAACACAATAGTATATCTTACAATTAAATCCACCCAAGATGCCCAAACCCTCCAAAAAGATCTCCACAGTCTTGAAAACTGGGAATCTGAAATTCGGATTGGTCAATGGAATTTAATCCAGAGAAATGTGAAGCCGCAAAAAACATTCAGTAACATTCCATTATAATTTACATGGTCAAAATCTTAAATCTACTGAGGCTGCACAATATTTAGGTGTAACAATTAGTAAAGATATATCTTGGACCAATCATATGAATAACATAACAGCAAAAGCAAATATCTCACTCAGATTTATAAAAAGAAATGTCAAAACTTCCAACAAAAAGGTCAAAGAAACTGCCTACAAAACTTATGCAAGGCCCCAGTTAAAATGCTGTTCCCAATTTGGCATTCTTAGCAGAAATATCTGGTTTACAAAATAGAACAAGTTCAAAGGTCAGCTGTCAGATATGTATACAATGACTACAATTACACCAGCAGTGTATCTAAAATGCTGAGTAATCTTAATTGGCAAACTCTAGAGCATCTTTATTCTTAATTGGCAAACTCTAGAGCAGAGGTGCAACATCAGCTCTGTTACCTTACTCTACCAGGGCATTTTTTGTCAAAATTGTGAAGGGGCCTGGACCTGTTCATTTTGTGAAAAAAAGCGTGATTTGTCATAAAATTGTGAAAAAAATTTATTTCATATTATTTGGCATTTAGCGACATAACGAAACCAGAAAATGTCTTCAAGTCGGTACTTTAACCCGCTTAACATGTGCTTAAAATTGGCGTAAATCATGATTAACTGGAGGGTTAACAATGTATTTCAAAGACAAAGTCACACTATTTTGTGAAATTTCTTTTAAAATTGTGATTCTTTTTCTGCCATTTTGTGAAAAAAAAGTGCAATTTTGAATTGTGAAGGGGCCTTATATCGGCCCCTGTTATAGAAGGAAAAAAAGCCCTGTCTACAATATCCAATACAATCTTGTGAGGGTCAACTATCACCATCTAACACCCAGAAACCTGAACTACATACATGTGACATCCCGGCGGGATTTTAAAAAATCCCGATATTTCAACACTGATCCCGATTCCCGATATTACAGCTTGAATTCCCGATATTTAAAAAAAAATCAACATAAAAAAAATCAAACACAGCACCTGTATCTAAAATGTAAACCGTGCCTCCGGGCATTGATTGTTATCTGTCCATATCCTAAGTTATAGCGGATTAAATGTTGAGTCGCTAATTGACAGCAAGGTGACGTAATAAACAGTTCCAATACCCAAAGTTATTCTCACATGTTTAACTTATCACGTGTCGTGTGTCAGTCAATTGACCTCTTTTGTAATTTGGCAGAAGTTATTACACGCTACGTCATCAAAACTACCCTGTAAATTCACATGTATGAATTCGGCTCAACCTTTGATTTTCTTTGATTAGTGCCGCACTGATGAAGATAAAAGGGGAGCAGAATCATTTTTAGTGGATCATTCAAAACCTGTTTGAGATGTCTAATTAACCTATTTTTAGTGAGTGGGTAATTTTTTGTTTTGTTTAGAAATTACGCAATCACCGAGGCAAAAATGTGGATTTAATAACAGAAGGATTCTTGCATTTATTTTGAGTCTTTTACTTATGTTACGTTATTTAACTGTCAGAGTCTTATGTTTATGAATAGTTGTTGCACGTTTTCAAATAGCTTGTGTTTAATTATTGAATGACTGAAAAGACATTATAATTCTTCAAACTGAAAATCATGAAATGTGAAAGTGTGACTGTTTTAGAAATAGCCAGTATGACTACACTTATTTATTTATCTATTTATTTATTTTTTTGGAGAAATAAATTAATATTGATCAACAAAAAAATCATAAAAAGTATTATCATTTAATGATTTTGAGGGTAATATAGATTCTTTGAACCAAATGTGCCAAACACGCACTGAAATTCGAGTCGATAAAAAAATCCAGTTTTGAGCCTCAAAATCCAGCTGAAAATCCAGATTTGGCCCATTTCATTTGTCACATGTATGGAACTACCTTATACCATACTCAAGGACACAATATCACTTATTCATTTTGCCTGTGGAATGGCCTACCCATGTCCTTACAAGCTAGTCCCAGTATCTCTTTACTGGGCAGCTGCAAGCTTTCTACCAGTTTTAAGTAAGTTTTTTGCTTTTATCTTTTTACCTCAGTCTTGTAGTCTTCTTTTAACTTGCTTTTCATCTTATACCTATAGTATAAATTTGTGCTTAACACATAAATTTGTTTTAAGTTTAACAGCTATCCCAATTTCCCAGACAACGCCAATTTCCAAGACAACGCACTTGCATAGTGTAATTGTAAACGATTTTGAAGTGCTTAGTATGTAGATAGATGTAGATGTTTACATTATTGCATAAATGCCCTTTTAGTAATAAAATAATGTTTTTAGAAAGTATTTAATGCTCGACAGTATTAGAAAAAAAAATTGCTTTAAATAACATTTCACACAAGTTGTACTTGTGGAAATATGTACAGAAATGTGGCGAATGCATGAACACATCGGAACTTCCAAAGGAAGTCATAGTTGCGCTTTTTTAGTCCACTGTATTTGGTAAAAAATATATACAAACCTCTACTCAATGGAACATTTTTGGTTGTCTGTTTCTGTGAATAATCATCTTTAGAATGTTTTGTTGAACTTTTATCAGTTATCAATAATGTCAAATCTTTTGAAAGAAAATCTTCAATTTGTCCTCCTAGATTTTGAATACGTTGAGATATTTTTGATTTCGCTGAGGCTGATTTAACATCAAGGTAAAATGTTTTTCCAGCATACGGTCGCTCTTCAAAAGATAAACTTCTTCGTGCACGCAATCCAGAGGACTTTGGCTTCATTATATACTACAAACATAAGAGATAGTTTACTTGTAGAAAACAAATGTTTTCTTTCCGAAGCAATATAAACAATTTTTTTAGTTCTATACAACGATCTTCAGGAAATAATTATTATTCATCAAATTTCTTTCTTGAATAGGCCGCCGCTGTAAGCTTCTAGTGATCTTGAAGAAAAGGACAAAACCCTTGACGAAGAGTGAGACTAAATAAAGGATTGGAGCACCACACTAAATACCGTATTCCGGTAAATACCGGACAAGGCGCTTGAATCGTAAAATGCCAAAATCTTGCTTTTTTACGCAACGGAATGAACTTTAATAGGTCTAATTCATCTTTTCACACTGATTTATGTATGATAATGCATGAAAAATGTTAAAATCAGCGAAAAAAACGATATTTGTCTATTTTGTGATCATGATTTCTGCAAGCGTCTAGAGGTACTGCTCCAATCCTGTATTGAGCTAAATCCCTTGACGAATACAAAATAATATCGGGCACAGTCTAAAACGCGGACTCCTCTTTAGCGGAAGCGACAATTAAAAAGGAAAAAAGTGGACGGTTAGATAATAAATGTTTAAAAATAATATATATTTATACGTTAACGGATGGCAAGCGGGCGTTGAAAAAGTTATAAAAAGTTGTGTATTAATTGGATTTGTTCATTCATACATAGAGCTATATATCTGTGATTCATATTTCATAAATTAAGTTATATTTAATTGTAATTTGGAATAATAATAAAAAATTATTGAATTTCATTTCATTGTCATTCTATTATGTTTAGTGATACCTTGTATAAACATGTATTATAAGTATATAGACAGAAAAAAAATCTTTCAAATACAACAACTCTTTACATGAATTTCGTTTCAAAATTACTTGTAGTAATACGTAATAATAATATAATTTTAAACATATACATGTATATAGATCCTGTCGTACCACTTTTTCCTAAATAATTAAAATCTTTACGTTAATTCATGTTTAAAAAACCACGAGTATGATTCAATACATTTTTTTAATGCTATTTTTTAATTTTAGGTCCAGTTTGCTAAAATTTAATGAACTTGGTAATTGTTAATTTAGTGGAAAAAAAAAAGAAAAATAAAGTCATAGAAAAAGTAATTTATTTCATTAGGGGCATGATTGTACAAATCACGAACAATAAAAGCATACGCATTCATAGAAACTCCAGCTTTTGGAGTAATTAGAACAAAAATATTTTGCTAACATAAAATTATTAAAGCTATATTTTAATAATAAAATGTCTCTAATGATGCAATGAATACGTGCCGTAAATTATCTAAAGACATTACCAATAAGTGTGAACAACTTTGCCAACCTGATTAAATATGTCAAGTCTTCGGATAGAAAAAAAACCCCGCATTTTGGGAACAATTTAAACATTGGAGGAAAACACTGACGATTTACAAAACTCAGCTGACATACATATTTAAAATAATTCAGTGAATTACAGAATTCAAAATTAATAGGTCACAATTTTGCAAATTATAACCTTGAAGGAGATGAATGGTGACATGTCCGGGGTCCAAACTCGATCTCAGTTCTTAAAGTTACATTAAATAAATATGTAAAAATATTTTGCCGTCGGCCTAAAAATCAAACATTCTACAGTTTCATTAACCTGTTTAATAGTATTGTTGTAAATCTCATCAAATATTGTTCATAAATTAGGATTTTAAACGGGAAACCCCACGGTACCACTAAAGTTCGTATACGAATTTTAACATGCAAATGAAGACTATAATGAGCTCGTGTATGCACTACGTCACAGTTTTATAGTTGCTATCCGGAACACAGCAAATGTGATATTTTCTTGTGCAAACACACTTTAACCGTTTAAGCTTCACGGTGCACTAAACCTGGGGTTCAGTAAAAGTAATAATCTCGTAAAAAGATTAAATTTGTATGAAAACATCCGTTACAATGCGGAAATATACCGTTAAATTAGGACTGCCACTTATAGTCATGTTTGTTGATTTAATATTGATGTACGGATGATCCGAAGGCGGAGTTTCTCATGCAAACAGAAATTGTATTTCCCATTTCGCCACAATGAGGTTACCTATTGTTATGCTAATAAAACTCATTTTGGTTGTTTGGACACAAAGATAAGACCTGGAGTCGATATAAAACCCAATTTATTAATGAAATGTCGCTATTTAGTTTTTTATGAAATTTATTAAATGTAACTTTAAAGAGTGGATGGACCCCCATGAAGCCTATCTAGAGTATACATGCTGACGACATAGATCTCTATACATGAAAAGTGCGGATATTATGAAAATTGTACATTTATGCATTATAAATTTGGTTTGAATATTATATTTTCTTCATATTCTATATTCCATATATCTGTATATTTAGTTTTTAAGTGTAAAGAAAATAAATTCAAAATTTAGAGTACCGAAAAAAGTGAGCACAGCAATTAAGCGTAAACAACATGCTACTTAATTTCGTATTTTGTGGACAATATAAGGAAGCATTGACATTATAGATATAGAGAAAAAGCAGACGATATACATAGTGTAGATCGAATGCATGATGTCCAGACAATTGGGCGGGAGATGATCTTTAATGACGGTGCATTATTTTTCATTGAAATTAGTATATTGTCAGTGCTTTTCCTACTGTGTTCATTCATTCATTCATTCATTCATTCATTCATTCATTCATTCATTCATTCATTCATTCATTCATTCATTCATTCATTCATTCAAATATACCCTCAAAGTATATTCTGTGTGCAAGATACATTGTAGATGTAGGGCATGGTCCTAATACTCGTATATACATTGCCCTATTCCCATATAAATGATACATTAATCTATAAAATGTTACAGTTTTCAGTTATACTTAAGTATGATTAATTGAAAAGGGCAGTGCACTTCTTCTCAACGAGATGTAACCACAGTATATGACCACATGGTTTACAGACACTTCACCCCAGGCACTTCACCCTAGGCCCTTTTTTGCAGACACTTCACCCCTCAGACAGTTCACCCTTATTTTAAGAAATTTGATTGAGACACTTCACACCCCCCTCCCCCATTTTTTATTTTGTGTTAAACAATTATTTATGTAGAAAATGTTAAATGTATTCAATAGTGATCGAGTATGTTTATTGTTTTAAAATATTTTATTATTTTATCATGTAACTGACAAAAGACAATGTATATATTGTTGTTTTGCTCTACACTCATATCACAAAGTTATTAGTAAGTAAATTCTTTATTTTTTATTCCATTTTTATATATTATATACTAATTTCTTGCGAAAGTGATATAACAAATTAAATAATCTTTTTATTGAAGTGTGTGAACCCTTCTGCTCTTCATAACTGGAGGAAATAAAACAATCTATTTATCTATCTACCTTTGATATATATTAAGTGCAGTGTATATAATCTGTTTCACACTTCCTTTATGTCTTTATAAACAATATTTATTTATTTATTTATTACTGTTAAATATTAAATATTTTACTTATTTTTCATACAATAATACCTTTTCAATCCAATTATCTAATCAATTATGAGGTAACTGTTGAATAATAATGTGTGTTATTGCATGTTTTATGTATATGAGTTAAATATATTATTACAGGTTTTATTTGTTTCTAAATTATTTACTAAACAAATATTAACTCTTAGAAATGTCTGTAGATTATCCTTTAATTGAAAAATTATAAATCAAATAATATAAAAGCATTATGTTGTTGGCTTATTTACTTTATAGAAAAAAAATGGATATGGGGTGAAGTGTCTTACTGATTTTGAGGGGTCTTTAGGGGTGGAGTGGCTTCAAAATTTGACGGGTGAAGTATCGGGGGGGGGGGGGGGTTGGAAGTGTCTTGCTACCGACCACATTTAGTTTCCAAACTTATAAAAGTTTTAAAGTTTTATGCTCCATTCAATTCTGTGACGGACAACGACGTGATGGACGCCAGACAGATGGACAGACGGACGAAAAGTATATCTATCACACCGCTTGTTTTGAAAAAAAAAAAAGGAATTTTGGATGGATGCTTTGGTGGCAGCAGATTTCAATTTACAGCGTCTATCAACACAGATCCAATATGGCTGCGCCCATGAAAAAAGTGTTCAAATTTATCGGTATCTTGCTTTATTTATCAAGTTATAAGTTTATTTTAAATAATTTTCGTCCACATTTAATTTTTTTGATTTGTTTTTTGTATTTCAAAAGAAAATTAAGTCATGTCAATGTGAAGGAATAGTCTAGAATACATGTGTGCGTTGATTGGTCACTACCCCACCCCCCGGAGATACTACATGTACCTCTCCAAAACCATGTACAGTAAACTGCATTTTTTTTCCATTTAAAATATGTTTTGATATTAAATATATGTTTTTTTATTCATTTCCGTCATTTCCCAATGTTAATACAAAATTGATACATGATATTTGGTAATATAAATCCGTGGATATATGTATTGTTTTTTTATTTTTTAAACTGCAATTTACATGGTTTTGGAGAGGTAGGAGGGTTGTGGAGTGGGTACAGGGTCGGGTTGTGACCAATCAACGCACCAAACACCTGTGGTCTAGAAGAGAAATTTGTAAAAAAGACCTATGGTGACACAGGGAAAAGGCATGCTTATATTATTCAAAATTGAAAGATACTTGATGTACATTTTATGGAGCGTCTTTCAAAGATTTGTTTTGTTTAATTTTGATTTGACATGTACTGATATTAATACTGATTGCATAAAAATTATACTAGATTATAATTATTATTTTCTGTAATTTTCAGATATTGGTGCCAACTTGACAGGTGAGTTATTTAACTCCAGCTTCAATGCATATTCTTAAACTGCAAATAATGTTTGAAAACTACATCACAGATAACTGGTAAAATCATAAATTCTGTGATATTTTTATGAAAATGATATCACATTGAATGTCTTTTACAATAGTACATGATTTTGCACATAATAATATGACAAACAAGTTCATGGGCAAAGCAAGCAGAAATTCCAGCCCTGTAAATCCAATTTCGTGAGTTAATTTCTGTTGAGAATTCATTAGAAAGTCACTCAAAAATTATTCTAGTGGAAAAAAATGCAAAATTCTAACCCTTAACCTGCCGAAACCAAAAGAGATTAGTCTTTGCACATCTGTATAATCTTAACAAGACTCAATAGCTACAATTGCCTGACTAACTTAATAATGTTATAGTTTGGGCATAGTTACTCTGATTAGATTATCTCTGAGCTGGAAAAATATAAAAGTTATCAGCATACATGCCATAATTTTTACACTCATTTCCGGGACACTTTCCATTTGGAGGTGGAGCTTTGATCAGCAAACGTATTTTTTTAAAATTTACATAGTGGCATTCAACCTATATTACCGGTACAACTTGCAAATTTAATGACACCATGAACAAAAGACAGAATGTCAATAATTATTAATAGTTTTTCTATCTTTTTTAAGTATTAAGACATCGTTAATTCAATCAGTCACAGAATAGAATAAAGCTATGTTAGCTATGTCGTTTACCTGAAAAATTCGCTGAATCTTGTAGATTTTATCACCTCAAATTTAGCGGTAATTTTCACGGTGTTTGACCACTAATAACTGCCTCCAGGCGGATTAAATTTATACTGGCCAGTTGTTAATTACAATGTATGACACCTTCGCTCAGGAAGCCGCATGGGGTAAACAATTAATCTTTTAATTGATCAAAATTATTGCCGATAATTGTGTTTGTTGGAAGGGGCACGTAGATATACCAATCAGAGGATTAGTGTCACCATTGCAATGCTGTTAGGGGATGATCGTTCGTTATTAGCGTTCTAGACTAGTTTATAAAAACTTGACAATAAAATTATATGAAAATGTAAAATTTCTTGCTTCAAAGTAGATTATTTTAGATTTTTATTTTACCGGGACATAAATCATCTCCGGGACACCTCCGGGACAGACACCTTATTTCCGGGACTGTCCCGGGCATCCGGGACGTTATGGCATGTATGTTATCAGTAACATCAGTTATCAGTAAAGAATACATCTTTTAATTACTTACTATAAATTTAATATCTGTGATATTATGATAACTAAATAGTTGTCTTTGGATGTGTTGGTGAAGTTAGACCACCAACCCTCATAAATTCATGTACAAATGTATGCACTCAGACAAATTCAATGTTAAAGTACATGTAGTGCTATGATGATTATGAAATGGAGGCTTAATTGCCATATCAATTTTGCCATTTTGTCATATCAATATTACGACTAAAACTGTAACATCAATATTTTGTCCAGGAGTGATCAAGGGAAATTTGACAATTTTCTGACTCTAATTCTTAGCCAGCAATTGGAATTCATCAAAATCTTTATAGTTAGAGATGATTTTTATAGAAAATGCTCAGAATAGATTCCGTGTCTGATTGCTGAAACTCATGGAACATAATAATGCTTGTTAAATCTTTGGGTGTCATGAAAAGTGTTCACTGCTTCCCATAATATTCTTGGGCAAAAGGTTAACAGTGTCTATTCTAGGAGGGGAGATTGGGGGATTCACTCATATTTTTAAGAATTCCCCTATATTTTTTCAGAGGGAAAAATTTTTTACATATAGAGAAAGAAGAAAAAAGATCAACAAATGTAATAAATTCTTAATTTTCGATCAAAATTCTCCCTGTTTTTCGAATCTTAGAATAGACGATGGTTTATCACATTTTTGTTTCTAAATTCAGATCCAGTATTTCGGGGTATTTACAGAGGAAAGAGACATCATGAAGGTATAGTAGTTGTTTGAAGTAATTATTCGTTTTATTCTCTAAAAGTCTAATTATTATACATGTAGCCTCTTAATCTATTTTATAAAGATGGCTTCATGCAGACCATACTTTTACTCACCATTTGTTTGTGAGAAAGATGTGACGAACCTTAAAGAAATGTTGGGAGTTTTTACTCTAGGTAGTCTATTGTGCATGAATAATGTTGTGGGAATTAATTTTTTATCTGTATTCTTGAGTTATTATACGAGAAGTTTCTTAGGTCAGTTGTTTTAAATGGCATGTAATTGACACCTCTTTTTAATAAGTATTTCTTTTTGTGTGTATTTGAAGCCTTTCTAGTCACCAGATTGGAGCAAAGTGTAAAGCCTGAGCCTTCTTGATATAATGGAGATTATAAAACTCAGATATTCTATGCTGTGATATGTGTGGCATTTTTAAGCTCCTTTTAAATACATGTTTACATCCATTGAATATGTGCCTGTATGTCCTTGTAATGAATTATAAAACATTTTATTAATTCTTTCATTATTTAGCTCTAATTTTTCAGGTACATGTAATACAATGTACATTGTATCTGAAAGTTGATTTTGATTTTCAGTTCTTTTGTTTCAGATGACTTTGTTGATATGCTTATACGGGCAAAAGATGTTGGTATGGAAAAAGTATGTAAGGTTTTCATATTTTTTTAAATATTTAATTTGAGATTAGTATATTCTTTTTCAATATATAATTTGAATGGGGTTGCGAAAAGATTATGTGAGCTATTTTGATGTCAAGGTTATATTAACATTTAAAGACGACAGGAATAAAATACATTTAAAGATTGTCAAGGTTCTAATTAAATAACATTTAAAAATGTCCCGGTTATATAACTGTGACCTTTCAGTGAAAATTGAGTTTTATGTCAAAATTTGGTGTACAATGTTTAAATATTTCAGATTATGGTAACTGCAGGATGTTTAAGAGATGCAGAAGAAGCTACAAAACTAGTGCAGGAACATGGTAAAGCCAAGATCTTAACCTTTAACCTTGATGACTGAATCTTAACATGTGCAACCAATGCAGATCAAAATTAGCCAGCACATTTGTGCTATCTGATCATGGTCCTTACTGTCCGCTTTCCAGTCAGTATATATTTTGAAGTTTTCCTTAAACATGATGAATGGTTGTGTTCACATTGAAAGATGGACAAGTCCATTTGAGATATGTAGCATAGTATGATTAATGATCAGTGACAAGCCTTGGTATAATCAAGTTTCTCTTTGACTGAGAGGTCTTTTCAGAATAAAGAGTCAAAATTTTGTATTTTGGTCATCACTTTTTTAAGTTCAATTAAGATTTTTGTCTTAAAACTAAACAGTTTTCGTCATTCAAATGTAGTCGCAATACTTTTACCCACTACCTTGAATACTGTTTAATATTAGTGTGGTTTATATTACACTTGATATTTCAAAAACTTAAATTTAACTCATAACTGTCTGGAACCAAAAGTAATTAGCCTTTGCCACCAGTATGGAGCCACGCCCCTCTGCACATCCATACAGTGTGACCAGATTCCCTACTGCTGGCTGACCAACTTTAAATTCATCTTGATAACCCTATATTTGATAATGGGCAGTGATGACAATGGAATGTAAACAAGTCCATTTAACAAATTCAGCTGGTTATGGATTAACCAATGAGTTAATGTATTTACTCAGTTACAAGACTGGCCACTTATAAGACTAGTCTAAATTTTAGACTAATAATGCTGTATAATGGATAAGAATTTTCATGCCATTCATTTTTCAGAGAATTTATATACAACAATAGGGTGTCACCCAACAAGATGTGGAGAGTTTGAGAAGTCAGGTGACCCAGATGGTTACATGAATAAATTACTAGATATAGCTGCACAGAATAAAGACAAGATTGTAGCAGTAGGAGAATTTGGACTTGGTTTGTAAATTTTTCCAAAACCAAGTTATTACCCATTGTCCATGCATAGATCTCTTCATAACCTTTCATTCATTCAATTATTTAAATTATCAGATTAGTGGGTTACAATGAGAAATTCTTCACAAAGTATTTGTTAACAAAAGAACACATGTCAAAGTTTGTGGCTAAATGCATTGTTATTCAAATGAATGGTCAGAGAAGGAATTTATCAATTGCATTTCAACAAGGGGCCTTTTGCTAGAAATGACGGTCTCCTAACTGTGAGTAAATGTATCATATGGGTGGCAAATGTCACATTATGCTCATAAAGTATGTACTAGTAAGCATAGGACTTAGGAGTTGTTTTTAAAGAAATAAAATAAGAGATGTGATTTTGAATCTATTTAATAATACTTATTTTTTTGCCATTTTTAAAACCTAAATATCCAATGAAATAGATTCTATTAAATTTTGTCTCTAGGACAGATTATTTTATATCATTTCCAGATTATGACCGTCTGCAATTTTGTCCAAAAGAAACGCAGCTGAAGTAAGTTTCTTTGCTATTATTGAATGTAAAAACCAAATATTAAATTTAAATACAGTTTGAATATTTGTATTACATCTAAATATACAAATGTAATACTTTAAAAGGCTGCTTGATAATTGTTCAAAGTGAAAATATAATAAGATTTTGAAAATTGATGGTTTTAGAATTAAAGTTGAATTAAGAAGGAACCAAAAATATTTGTATTATGCAGGAAATTTGCCCTTGTGCATGAGAAAAAAACTGAATTATGAAATTGAAACTTTGATATGATAATCAGTATATAATAAAATGAAAAATATTTTTATAAGTATATCAAATTTGTCTTAGTTTAGCCTTTGCCCTTCTGACATTTCAGAATGAATATGTTCTACTTTGAGTTTTGGACAGTCATTTATGATAATAAGGGATTTTAATGGCAAAGTATGGAAAATGAATTGGGGTGCTACTCAGATTCTTCCTTGTGCCTGAAGTAATGCAATGAGGGCACTTTTAAGTCTTCCACTCACTGGGAAAGCTGAAAAGTTGGTTGGAAACTTTAACTCGGCCAAAGAAAAAAAAGACCAGCCAGTAGTATAGGGTCTTGGTATGTTGCATGGTTTGTTCCAACTTAACTGTTGGCATAAGTCTTTTAATATTCCCACTGACACTAAAATATCTCATTATATCATGTCTACTTTAACTGCCTATTAAACTCCTAGTCAATGCTAAGTCTCAATTCTAATTGTAAAAATTTATAAACAAATAATGACTTGAGTGTATTTTCAGCGTTTTTATTTTTGAAAACAGTTTGAATGGTGGAAACAATTAAACAGCTTCCATTAATTTCATTCACTCACAGAGCCCGGCAGGAGCATGATTTTGCCATGCATTATTATAAAACGTCAATAGAGAACAAAGAATAAAAGGCGTGTCGTTGGTGAGTTAAAAACATGCTGTTACCATAGTTATATTGCTTAATTGTAATTATCAAATATTTAAATGTCATAGTAATACTGATAGCTGGATAACTTAAATTGATATGTTTGATTGAATTTAATTTAAGGTAATAGAAACAAGGCAGTAGCACAACAAAATACTTTATTTGATGTGTCAAGAGTTGTTTTTAAAGGAACAGTGGGGGGGGGGTCATGAGTTTGTAACTTATGTCTTTCCCCACACTGTGCATTGTGTTTGTTTAGTATTCACATCAAAATAGCAGGGGATGTGACCAACTGGTGGTATGGGTGCATTTGGTGGGGATTTCACCATCTGACTGTACCTGTAGGGTGAAGTTGGTAAATTCAAAAGTCAAAGCATGTCTACTCCAGGATTTTAGGAACAGAAGTTATGATTGCCAGGTGCATGATGTATGTCATATTCATCAAACTATGAGTAAATGATATATAATGTATAACCAGTCAACTTTTGTTTGATTAATGGCTAAATTGAGACAGGGTCTTCAAACAGGGTCTTTCAAAAAGAAAGGGGTTAGAGTCGATGACTTCTAATTCAGTTACCTCTCTGGCGTGGGTTCGATCCCGGGAGAATGCTTTTGGTAGTTTAAGCAAGCGGAGGAAGGTTTGTCTAGTCTGGTGTAACTCTCTCAGGAACGATGGTTAGAAACTACCCGCCTATATGACTGAAATACTGTTTGAAAAAGGCGTAAAATGAAAAAAACAAAAACAAATTTCCAAAAAGAAAGACCCTGATTGAGATTATCATACTGATAACATATTTGACTGTACAGTTTAGCATTTACAACAGATGTATTCACTCTAAACATTGTATACAGGTGTGTTTGAGTGATATACAATCTTATTTTATTACAGGTACATTCATTACAAAGGGACAAAAAGAGGAAGCTGCTGAGGATCTGATCAGGGACTATTTATTGGAATTAATGGATGGTAATATCCCTATTTCAAAATTTCAAAACTTGTTGGTCAACATACTTGTAGAAAATTTCCTTTTGGGCCCCCAATAAAAATCCCTAAGTTTTTTTTGGGTAAAAAAATTTGGGTGACAACATTTAATGAATGCTTAGTTCTTGCATTTTGACTTCTAGTACATTTTGTATTTATGAATGAAACTCCATTTCATTAGTTATTTATTTATTTTTATAAGGAAAGAATTTATAGCTTCACTTTGGAAGAATATTGAGACTATTCTACTTACCCTTGTGTCAGCATTAAACTTTGGGAGAGATTAAGTAAAGATTTTGCTTGCAACTTCTTGTTTTAATAAACACTGGAAGCAAAAGCTTGAAACTTCAAATGAGCCGTGTCACAACAAAACCAACATAGTGCGTTTGCGACCAGCATGGATCCAGACCAGCGTGCGCATCCGCGCAGTCTGATCAGGATCCATGCTGTTTGCTTACAAACCCTATAACAAGTAGAGAAACTGATAGCGAACAGCATGGATCCATGCTGGTCGCAAACGCACTATGTTGGTTTTGTCGTGACGCGGCTCAAATGTGTCTTTACAATAATATTTGTTAATCACCGGCAATCCAAGACCTTTAACTTTTGTATAGAGTCCCCATTTTTGTGGGTCCTTTATGGCTGAGTGGTTCACTGACCTGAAATATTTAACCTCTCTATGGTGGGCTTTAATCCCTTCATGGACTTTTGACCAGCTTGCTTAGAGAAATTTGGTGGTTTTACTTTGGTGCCTTCTCAAGCCTGAAATAATGCATGAAAGGCACTAGCGGTCATACACTTTGTGTAGTGTTATGCCAATTTGATTAAGAAAAAATCAAATATAAATGTTTCTTATAATTGTATAAACAAACATATTTATGTGTACTTTAGCTTGATTGTGATGAAAACTTGAAGCTTATCTAAACCATTCTGAAGTATGCAATCATGAAGTAATGAAGTAACCATTGCTGGTGTGATACTAGGAAACATGGCCAAAACCCATTTATTCCAAGCTATCTATAGCATTTTTAATGTGCGGAAAATATATAATAAATAAGATTTGTAAAACTATTATACACTATTAATTTTTTTTCAAGCGTTTTGATGGATCAAGAACATAGCTACTTAAAATCTATTATTTTTCAGTTCTTTGTGAAGACTCAGGAACAATATAATGTCCATGTGTACACGTCCGCAAAGTGATAGAATAATGTGGAAACAGGTATGGTAATAGGTTTTACATACCACATAGTTGACTTTGTTTTGGACAAAATTTTCCATAACTTTCGAAGCGAGGGATTTTAAAGTAGTTGAACACACGTGTCACATGTACAAATCATTATTTTGAAGGTTCAAGGTAAAAATTTAGGAGTCAAGTCAAAAAAAAGTGACACTGCTGCACTGTTCTTAAAATGCATTTTTGACACATGGAATTCGAACGGATTCTTATTTTTTTTAATTTCAACAAAACAAAAGCCAAACTCATATTCAAATGATTAAATGAAGAGTTTAAAGCAGACACACAATTGGGTGGGTGTATTAATAATACACGATGCTAACATGGTGGTGATTTCCGAAATACACATGCTAGCCTCAAGTTTGTACAGACACGAATTCCTACAAAAAAGAAAGAAAAATGGACGAAAGGTTTATGGTGAAAAGTCGAAATGAACCGCAACTATTATGTAAGTTTTCATATTATTTTAGGCTATGTTGAAGGTACTTCATTAATCACTCTTGGAAACTGTTTTTTTATGATTTTTTAGGACAAGTATAACAATATTTAAGTTAATTTATATTGTTGACCATTTACCTAACATGTGTCCACATTAAAGCTGTATGCCTCCAGATGAGCCAAAATATTTCAAGACAAATAAAATTGAGAAAAACGTTCTAAGATTTTAAGAACATTAGAAATATTCAAGAATCAAGTAATAATGTACATTTTATGTGCTTTAAATGGCTGATTTTGCAGAATGTATTACCATATTTCTACTGCGTTACTAACGCAGTAAGGGCTAATTTTGCATAATTTGACTTCTTTTCGGTAATTTATGTAGATTTTAGGTGTTGTTTGCAATTTGTTAATTACTTTTCTTGTTATCTTCATAACATTTTTCTTTTTAGATACGTTTTCAAAATTTTCATGAAAATAAGATTTAATCTGGAGGCGTGCTGCTTTTAATTAAAGTAGTGAACTTAATCATTTATATTTTTTGTTGAAAGACAAATTTAATGTAAGAAAACATTGTCTATTTTTTTGAAGAACTTGGTCAAAGATGTTTAAGCTCAAAGTTTACATAACTGCACATTATGAAATATTCAGAATAAGTTGATTATAGTTTTATAATAAGTATAATTAGGAAATAGATATCAATTCTGAGTGCATTGTTGTAGAATAATGCACGGTTTGAGTTCAAATGCGTAGTAATATAATCACGAAGGCCGATAGGTCCTGAGTGATTAATTAACAATAGCATTTGAAGCGAAAAAACGTGCATTATTATACAATAATTGCACGAAGAATTAATATCTATTTTCCATTCGACACGTCAAGAAAAAATATAATTATTATTATAAAGTTGGACTTTATGTTTGGCGGTTAAATTTGTATTTCGCCTCAGAAGTTTCCAAAGAAACGTTTTTAAAGGCCGATTCCAGATAGTGGATTGAAAAAAACTGTCGTTAATATCTATCCGCGTGTAGAAACATTTTGAGAATATACGATTTTGAAAACGTGATAAAACTTTGTTGCTTATTTTTAGTTTCATTCTATAATTTTCCAGAGCGAAATACAAATTATTAAAAGTGAATAAATGTAAAACTTAACTCGTCTGCGACGTTAAACATAGCGTACTTGAATTTTTGATTGTTTTGCACGTGCTGTTTGGCGCTACCATTGGACGTCACGTACAACACACTTTAAAACATCTTGTACAGCGTTACTGGTCCGAGTACTGACTGGAATTAAGATATTGGTGTTCGGGTTAATCTATTTTTCTTTAGTTGACCTTTTCTATCATTAATAATATTTTCACACAATAAATAATTCGACAAAAATTGTTTTTATTTATCAGATTTTTCAAACAAAAATGCGCCTCTA